GCATTGCAATAATATCTCAGTAACTACAATGCAACCAATTTGATTTGTGAACTATAAGTACTGTCAATCCAGAGCCCTACTGTAAAGTAAATTTCACCAAAATCTTTTATTGACTGATAAACGTATTATAAAATTTTTACATTAGTAATTCAATAGAATTCAATAGAAATTGTACATTATATTCATAAAAATAATTTGTGATTTGTTAGTAAGACTTTTAATTTGATTGGTATTCTAAAATACTGTATTGTTTATCTAATTTACCTATATATAATTATAATTACATTATTCAAATAACATCCTGTTAATGTAAATGTCGTAATCATCAAGTTTACTATAAAAAAGAAAAATACAAGGCGGATTGTGTTAAGATGTCACGTCACGACATAATTCTATGTATTTATGTTTCTGTTTATGTTGTAGAATAACTTTATTTTTAAATTATTTTATTTAATATCTACTAGCTCTGTCTGCGATTTCGCGCTATCAGGATAAAAATATCGTTATGTTCATTTCATCCTAAATAAAAAAAAACATGACTACTTTTGGGCCGTTAAAGACGCTAAGAGGTAAACAAATGAATTCACTTTAATATATATAAATATTAGAATATATTAATATACATATGTATGAAAAAAAGAATGGTACAAAAGGTGGCTTTAACCCAATGCAGTCGCTACTCTGTGAACCTCGATTGATTCGCCTTTTTTTACTAGTTACCGAAAATGCAATTTTTTTTTCAATTTGGCACAAAAAACAATCACTAGGTATCCATACATACGTCCACCTAGTAATTGGTTTTTGTAACATTGTATGAATGGTTATTAGATAATGGTTTTCCACCGTAGTTATCCAAGTCCATTACCAATAGAGCCTTCATCATTTGGCGCTGTTGGCACAATGACTGTCACAATAGAAGGTCGCGCGGTTTATACGTAGGTATTGCGGCATCATAATATCTATAGAAACCGAATCTGTACTAAGTACCTATAAATTTACACCGTATCACCGTATAATATCTAATAAAACTATTTTAGATATTATAGCGTCTCAGATTTTCTTTGGAGATAAATTCTTGAGATGTTTTACGGTATTATTAATATTAAATTGATAATTTCAATAAAAGTATGTATATGTTGTATTAAATTTAAAATAAAGAAAAACCTACATATGTATTCTGTATAAGACATAACGATTAAATGAACCAATAAACCGGTTTTAAATTTTTATGCATAATTGGTATATTCTTTATTGATAATTTCGTGAATTATACAAACAGACGATAATGAGTGTAAAATAAGTCTTAGCATAAGATGAGAATCAATAAGTATTACATAATAATACTTGTATGAAACTCACTCATTGCCAAAACTGCACATGTATTATTCTTTTTCAACCGATTACAAAGTTTTTCAATTATTAGTTGTATTTTTGTTTGTGTGTTAACTCATAACTTCATCAGTCCTAAATCGATTTGGAAAATGGTATTTTTGTTTATAAGTATACATTTACAGATTGCTCCCATAGAAATTTTATTAAAATCAATTTAGTAGTTAAGTATTTAAATCAAAATAACTTGTTTTACCACAATTGAAGTTCGTTTTTTATTGTAAATCACAATTTAATTATTCCTGTAATCGCTTTAGCATGCCTAAATCACCTCACTAATTCTTACCCTCGTTGGTATCTCTGGGGATATGAATAGTAGTACTTTATACTCATAGACAACCCCAACAAGCGTTCATAGACAACCGCGGTGTTTTCGAAATATTTAATTCAATGTCTTAATTTCAGAACAGCTATAAAGTATGTTAACGCGGCAGCGGAGCTAATGTGTCTAATTGCTATGAGGGACGTTTGAAAGGAGGGTTAAATTAATTAATAACAGACCTCTAAATGAGACGCTATGTAAGTCTCTCATAGTTTCATTACGTTATCAGAATAATACTGTCTCGCTTGTTTTATTTACCTGACCTGAATTGAATATGTTGTAATACTGTGATATCGATAAAATGTTATTATACTCGTACGCCTCCTATCAATATTATTGTCTTGCCATTATATTCCAACTGGAATTATAACCTTTCGACATTAGCTGTATTTAAAGATAAATGTGCCGCCTATCAGCAAAACTAAATAATCGCATGATTAAAAATTCGTTTTGAATCGAATTTGCTGTATTTCCAATTTATTATATCAAAAGTAAACTATAGGTATCATTGTTTCTACATTTAAAAATTAATATATTATATTTAGACATTAAGACATGTTCTGAGAAATGTAGTTGTGTGAAATTTGCATTAAATGCATGTGGTATATTAGATTTCATTATATTTCGTTAACTTAGAAACACTTTAACTTAGGAATATAACAGAATGCGCTGATTTAGAACTTAGAACTACACAAGTTATTAATGAATTGTTTAGTTTATATATTGAATAGCTGAATATCGTTTCACTTATCTGATTAAACTTGGTTTGTATGTAATGTATACGTCAAGTTAATATATTTAGCATTGTCTATTAAAGTCAGTGATATCATAGAATGTGGGTTTGAACGGACCTTCAAAGGAAAACCGACGGACATATTATCAAGCATGATTATTGTGTAACCAGCACTTATAAGTTTTGTTGCTTTAACTTTTTATAGTTTTAGTAATATACAAAAATTTGTTTTATTTTTTTTAGCGTTTGAGGTGTAATTTGTGTTGTGTGTTTATATTTCTGTGCGTGCGTTATGGATTTTTAACTGCATTAACAAGGAATTTTAACTTATTTTTCACGCATACTTCTGTATTATTAGTTTCTATTTCATTAATTATCAACAAATACATTTTTCATTGTGTACTTTTTGTTGTATAGTAGGAGTGGGTAATATACATCATATCTATATATTGTAGTTGCAATATCTTTATGTTAGTCCAATAACGGATATATTAAATTGCAGTTACCCAATATATATTATCGAAATGAGACATTCGATCGGTATGAACAAAAATATCCGACTGATATGGGGGATGTCGAAATGGACGGTGACCCCTTTTCCACTGTCAATGTCCAGTGGAATATCCAATATATATATATATATATATATATATATTGGAATGGTACGAATATTACCCATGCCTATTGTATAGTTAGTGTTAGGGCAATTCAAAGCAGTTCTTAAATAAATATTTTAGTAATCTTCTAAATTATCAGATGATGCAAAAACTGCCTGATTTCGCTTTGAACGTTCTAAATAGGATATCTATTTTTAGTATCCGTCTATCAGTTTGATGCTACAAATACATTTCACTAAAATATCTTTTAGTGAAACGAAATAACTGTTTCATTAAGGTGCGCCGATAACTAACTTTACTTTTATGTCCTATCTTATCAAATTCACGCTGTCACTCAGAATCATAATACCTACTCCTTATTTTACTTTTGCTGCAGTATTGTGAAGTTTAGTTTTCATATTACGAAGTGTAATTAATTCTTAATCGATATTTCACTGCTGTTTCTAAGTGTATTATTGTATATGCCTGTTTATAATCGAAGGTAAAGTTAGTTAATTTGACCTAATCAAATTTCTATCGCTTTCTTATGATATTGATTAAGTGACTTAAAATTTGCAGCAATGTAATTACTATTAGTGATTTATAGGTTAAGAATTTAAATAGCTTTTAATGTAACCTCGAAGCGTGTCATATTTTTAACCGTATTGTTTCATATATAATATTTAAAGTACAAAATAATGATGTAATATTTTACTCTATTATTGATAGATAGAGGACCACATACGTTATGTTGTTTACAAATTTCTTTGGACACTGGTAATGCCACTGTCACTTGCGTAACCAGATAGGTGAAATTTAATAACAGCATGTACTTGTACCTCTCGTAAATCTGTGGTTTAAATAATTTTATTAGATTATTACTCGTATATATTATGCTATACATTTATATTACATATTAGCGGTTTCGCACGGGTAGTAGAGCATATATGTTTACATTTTTTACATCCGCTTTTGTTGCGTCGAGTATGATTTAGATGGGTATAATAAGCTATCCTTAAAAGATAGACATATGCCATGGCGGATTTTTTATAGACTTATAAAAGCGAAAACATACATTGATTTGTTATATCTTACGGATATATTTAACGTATTTAGCAGCGTGTTCGATGAAAGCTCCCAAACAGTTTCATTTTTTCGACATCTTCATTCTAATCATATTTCAACTAGTTTACTCAAAATCTTAACGAGTTGATTATATATGTAGAGCTTTCTCATCGTAATCATTCTATTGATAAATTAAAATCATATGAAATGCCACGTACAGACAGACAGACGCGCCGGGGACTTCGTTTTATAACATATAGTGGTGATTGATATTTTGCTGATTTGTCCTTTATTTACAGTTTGGTATATTTAATGTAAATAGAGGATAATTTAGCAAAAAAAGTAATTATGTAAACATTATTTTTATAAGGATATTTCTTTTAGAATGAAGTACTTACAGATTTCTAATTACATATTGAAAATTTCAAATAAGTGACTCCGTATCGTTCATTAAATTTGTTTTAATATGGATTACGTAGCTTTTACATAGCATCATAAACAGTTGGTAGGAATTATGTATCCTTCGAATATTTTTTTATCTTTCAACCTCATTTTCATCCCTTAGGGTTATATTTATTTTCAAATTTAAGATTATGCGATTAGTATAATTGTTTATAGGTATATTGATTTGCAATCATAGCCGACCTAGTGTGTTACAACAATGCAACACCATTTTTAATATAGTTCTAGGAACAAAATTATAAAGGTATTAGAACGATTAGGTGTTAGAATCCACTACCCATACTCGAGTCAATTTAGACAGGTTCATGTCCTAAATTGTACTGCCCAAGAATCAAATTCGGAACTACATTCACGTTAATTGATTAGCAACTACCACTGTGGCACGAAGATCATTAATATGTAATTAACAAGTATTGTTTTCCACCTATTGCAGATATTTGAGCGTGGCGTGGTGAGGTTGGTTGGTCGCGATGACGACCGACATATCGGTGTCCCGCTGGGACCCGTCCATCGGCCACGGACAGGAGATCATTGACGAGTTCGAGTACGATGGCGGCAATTCGTCGTCGAGGCTATTCGAACGATCGCGCATTAAAGCGCTAGCAGGTAATTCACTACTAGTATTTTTTTTTTGATGGATGATAATGGAATAGTAACCTCACCTGCGCTATCGGTATACACTGGCGGGGCAGCAGTGAGCAATGATAGGTGAGGATGACCCATCGTGACGAATTCTACAAGAATTAACCATGTTGGTTTACAGAGGGAGTCGCACGGAGGTCGGACGAACAGGTTCGGTATTGTGTGCTATTGCTAGTAATAGAGCCTTAAGCCCCCATTACTAATAATGCCTTTCCCCGCATTTCTACTTTTTTTTAATGGATGATAATGGAATTGTAACCCCCACCTGCGCTATCGATATACATTAACAGAGCACATGTGAGAGATGATAGATGAGGATGAAAGTAGGTCAGTACATCCATAGTGACGTGTTCATAAACAATTAATTATCATGGTTTCCAGTGGGAACCGCGTGAAGGTCGTCCTGATAGGGTATATTGTTAACAAAGAGGCTGTTAGATCCCTAATACGAACAGTACCTTTCCCCCCCATCTCTACTAGCACTATACTTGTATAAGAGTCTCGTCTTCTAGTGTCAAAAGTTTCGTGATAAAACGAAAGCTTTTGACGTGTCTTACGGCGGCTGATGGCGGATTTACGTGTCCTCCGCAGCAAGTGATAATAATTTTCAAACTGGTAATTAAATTGAGGTTTAGTAATTCATTAATAATGTAGTAATAGGTAATTCGGGATTCGATCTTGAAGTCCCCGGACAACAGTTAAGCGTTGTTCAACTGAGTTGTTACCGCTAATAATTAGGTAATTTGTTATAATTATGTACTAATCTATTTCACATTGTATATATACGCGTTTATATACAATAAATAAATTAAATAAATATGTGAATCTATAAATTAGTCTAGAGTCTAAACCAATATTAATATTGATATTGGGAACTTAAAGTTGGGATACAATAAGCAAGATCGTCATCTTGTTATCACCAGATGGCGATATTATAAAATTACAATGCAGTTTGATTATAAATACAAATATTTTTTAATACTTTTACTAAGTATTTTCTCTTTGCAGAGAAAAATGTTTAAATCTTTATTGCTAATTGATGGAGTAATACAAAGATCTATGTTTTCATCGCCTTTATATGTAGCAATTAATATACTATATTTTATTTTAAACTTTATGTGTTATATTCATCGTAGGTATTGTTTTTACACGACAGTATATCTAACGCATTCCTACGATACATAGTTAAATTTATCATTTGTTCGTTTTCCGTTTTCCTATATAACAATGGGATAGTAAACATTTGGCGCAGTCACCAGTGTACCATCATTATCGTTCACTTTTAAGATTTTATGTCTGGACAACATAAAATCTTACGCAGATATTTTATCAGCGATGTTGTAACTGTATTGATATCTCAAATTTAAACCTTCATTTAATCTTGTGTTTACTTACCTCCGTGTATCACGCCCGCCAATGTTATATGGAATTCTAGAAGGCGTTTTTAATATATTATTACACATTGTATGTGTTGGCAATTGAATTATTTGTTAATAAATCCGGTCCAAGAGTTGTCGACATCTGGAGCGTTAGTATCGAATATCCTTGTTCTGTGGGCCAGTTGGATTTTGTCGCTCTAATTGGTCCCGTTCTTTCGCCCGTGAGGCGAATCAGTCAGTCGCCAGCCGATATTGGCGACATGACATCCACGGAGTGCTACGATCTGATCAAGAGAGGTATTGACATCGAAGTGCCCGGCCTGGAAGCATATTATGACAAGGTCGTACTTGAACTCAGAGGTTGGTAGTGTTGCGATAAGATAGTGCAGTGTTCATTGTTTTTTGTGGTGACTGGTGACACACAATTTGATACTGTTTTCACACGTTTTGTTAGTACGTTAAAATATTTTTATTTTGTTTTGGTTTTTAAAAAAATAAACTATTGCTAGTATAGAAGTGATATGGTAGTACTTAGGAACTGTGTAAATTCATTAATTGATCAGAGTTATCAAAGTAGGACAGGTGTAAAATATATTTCACATATAAATTATAATGTTTTATAAGTTAATTTTGTTTAAGGATAGAGGCCGTTAGCATGGGCTTCTATTGACTCTGCCGCTTACCTGGCGTAATACAGATAATTTTGTATATTAAGAGCTAACTTTAGTATATTGTCATTGAATGACTCACTAGCCTTCGCTGTGACATATTTCCCATACCGTTTGATCCAGGAAGCATTATTATATATTATTCGAAAGCTAATTATATTTAGAGCGTTGTGTAATAAATAATAATTTATTATTTAAATAATTTTACCTCGCGCATCTACGAGTAGGACCACTGAGCTTTCCGCTCCACAGCATGCGAACTGCGACATGATCCGTGTATCATATTACTCTATATATTACTTACGGAATCCAACACCAAGGGTTGTATTGTGTAGGAGTTATTGCGATGGCACAGCCTGCTGCGGACGGCTGCGGGGACCCTCCACTCACGAAAACGGCTCCCAAGCCTGCCATCTGGTCCCCGCGCCGCGGTCGACCTCACTGGCGGTTAATGTGTTAACATTCCCTTTTATATAGTTTTCTTCTCCTAATTGCAATGCACATTTATTATGTAAATTTCCTATTTTCAAAACCAGGTCCGTTGTATTTTTTTTTGTAGATTATTTGGTCGAGATTCTCTTTGATTTATGGTCGTAAATGTAGTGACAGACAACATGACCGTGTGGTAATTGGCATAGAATAGATTATTCCTTCTCTATCCACCGGAACTACTAACGAAATAAATAGATAAGATCCCCATTAAATTTTGTAAAAAAACGAAATGTGATGTAGTTGCTAACTATGGAAATTACAGCCAAAAGTCCTCCCTTCAAAAACAATTTCCTTTATTCCTGTAAGTTTGTTTAATCGATGGCATTTTTATTGCAGACGAACGAGAAAGCGTGCAAAAGAAGACTTTCCAGAAATGGGTGAACTCACATTTGGTGCGTGTGGGTTGCCGTATCGGCGATCTATACGTGGACATGAGAGACGGCAAAATGCTTATCAAACTGTTGGAGGTGCTATCGGGAGAGAGACTGGTGAGAACATTTAAGCACCACTATCAAAAGATTTATTTTTTTAGTCTACTTTGGGACCCTTTCTTCAGGGGCTAGAACTTCTTAAAATCTTGTAGGCAATATACTTGAAGGAAGTGTCGTTTAGTTAGAAATAAGAAAGTTATGTAATAATGTAGTAAATCAAACAAAAATTGGGGCTGATGATTCTATTAAAACAATTGGAAAGACCTGCACATGGTGAAGGACTAGGTCAAATGGAAGATCTATGACGAAACCCTTATCTAATAAAGGGTGAACCCAGTTTGATACAGAAGAAATGATATTAAATTGGTTCCAAGTGGTGTCTATGTCATAATTCCAATTTGAGAAAAATTAATGCTTAGAAAAATTATAATGATTACAAATACCCAAATCTGCGCTAAAATTTAAAATAAAAGTACATTATTCCAATATCGAGGAAGTAGAATATTGACAGATATCCAAACCAAAATTAATTTGTTCATTTATTCAAAGAAACTATTGCATTACTTTTTGTTATAAGAGTAATGTACAAAACATGTGTAGTTCAACGAATTTTATTTATTAGATCTCCATTGATGGGCTAAAATTGGTTTGGCGAATTTTTTAGTTGCACTCCATTAGTGTATGTTTGTCTTGAACACTTACTAAATGTTCAAGGCATTTACGATGTTAAAATTAGTCGAATAGCTCCAGAAATTAGGGCAAATGATGTTATACGCGATAGTGTTTAGTCTAGAGCTACACAATGACTATAACTGGGGCAATAGGTGTCCTAGTGCTTTGTCCCATATCAGTCTGTCAGAAATACATATATTTATTACCTTTAATCTAGGGGCTTAGTCTGAACGTTTAAAACATAAAAGTTTTACAAATAAATGAAGCCGATTTGCAAATTAGCACTAAAGTATAGTCCAAATAGGCTCTTTTGTAGTCACATGACTTAAGCCCGTCTGGTTTTTATGCTTGTGATAAGCTCCCTGGTTTATGGATAGATCTCTATGTCAAATTACCTACAGGATAGGCAGAGAGAAACCAGTTGCCACTCTACTCAATTATCCGTACTTATTTTATAAATGCAAAACGTTTGTATGGATATCATTTTTATCTATTTATTGAATTGTTAAGATAACGCTACTATCACTAATATATTTAAGTGAAAATAACAAGTAACTTATAGATATTTATGAATGAATTATATGACCTCAACATTAACATAACTATATTTTCCATATTTATGAGTGCATATTTTATTTTGAATTTATGTGTGAAAAGATTTTAACGATTATAATTTGTCTATAGCCTCGCCCGACCAAAGGCAAGATGAGAATCCATTGCCTGGAGAACGTTGACAAAGCGCTGCAGTTCCTGCGGGAACAACGCGTGCACCTGGAGAACATGGGCTCCCACGATATCGTTGACGGGAACCCGAGACTCAACCTCGGTCTTATTTGGACGATTATACTTCGTTTCCAGGTATAATTGAATTTTTAATTATTTTTGTCAACACATAATTGCATGGTATTTTTTTAGTCCATGAAAACGGAACGGTGTCCCGCCTGTGCTGTTGGTATACGCTGCCAAGGTGAATGAGGGACGATAGGTGAGAATGAAGTCGGATCAATCGGTCCACCGTGACTAGTAACTAACCACGATGGTTTTTAGTCATTCGTAACAAACATGGATGTCGATCCATATGTGAATAAATATAACAGGGGAAATAAAGATATTTGGTATCGTCTTTTTCATTTTAATTAAAATCAAGTCGATTTTTAAAATGTAATATTTTTTTTATTAATGTTTACTATTTTGAATAAAAAAAGAATTCTAAAATGTCTTCTATTATAAAAAACAAAAAAAAAAAAAATCAACTTATTATTTTGTTTCTTCATTAAAAACAATTATGAAGTTACAATTATCGCTTTTCGTGGCGAAGTGCATACTACGTATATGACGAGCGGCGATTATTATGGCAGTTTGCCTTTAATCTCTTAGCAAGTATCCTAACGTGTACGTGATCATGCACGTGAATGAGATGGATTGTGTAATCCTTATCTCTGCCTACCTTCAAGAGACAAAGGATTACCTTTGATTGATAATTATAATATAAAGTAGTAGTAATTATATATATTTGAACATTTCAGATCCAAGACATCACAATCGAAGAGACAGACAATAAAGAGACAAAGTCCGCGAAGGACGCTTTGCTATTATGGTGTCAAATGAAGACAGCCGGATACAACAACGTGAATGTACGCAACTTCACGACCTCCTGGCGCGACGGGTTGGCGTTCAACGCGATCATACACAAGCACAGACCCGACCTGATACAGTTTGAGAAACTGCACAGAAGCAACCCGTTGCACAATCTAAACAACGCCTTCAACGTCGCCGAGGATAAGCTCGGACTTACTAAATTGCTTGATGCTGAAGGTAATATAAACTTTAAGTTGTTTGTGTGTGAAATTGTGTATGTCACAGGTCTATGTTCAATTTATACGTACATAAATTGATATAGACTTCCCATTGAACTTTTTCGATGTATATCAAAATGCCTCACAGAATATTGCATTTAGAAAATCGAGATTTTTGGAGTCTTAAGTCTATTTAATCTTAATTGATACTTTTTACAATTAATATTTTTTTTATGGACCTTTCATATGCACCATAATAGAATATGCAGATTATTTCTAGATTTAAAAGTTTAATGAATATACTTGATTAAATAGACTCGACTTGTCTAGAAAAGTTCATTAAAGTATCATTTCTTAATTTATATTATATTTTTTTTTAAATTGCTCAAATTTTCATTTGGTCCTTTTACAGACATTGCTGTTGACCATCCTGATGAAAAATCCATCATCACATATGTGGTGACATACTACCACTACTTCAGCAAGCTGAAGCAGGAGACGGTACAGGGCAAGAGGATCGGCAAGGTGGTCGGCATAGCGATGGAGAATGAAAAGATGATGCACGAATACGAATCACTTACGAGGTCAGTTCACCATCACCATTTCAAGTATTTAGTGCCCACTTAATGTAGACTAGTCAGTACTAGTTATTTGCAGTCGTGGAAGTATACCCGCTAGATGCAGTTTTGAATTTGGAATATTACTTTACTCTGTGTTGTGATTTCTTGTTGGAACTTTATAACACGTACATAATATCATATTATTGTTCTAATAGATTAAATTACGTTAGGTAATGTTTAAAGAAATGGTTCCAGCTCAGCGTTATGCTGCCCTTCGAGTGAAATAGTAGATTTCAACATTGATTAAAAATGTAAAGTATAGGGTGAAAGTAGGACTTGCCAGCCTCAAATAATGGGACAAAAAAGCAAAGTAATCCTAAGTTTTAATTGCATATTATTCTTAAGTTGCCCTATTTCACGTAATAATAGTTGAAACTAATTACTTATTCATAATTTTGTCGTATTAATGTTACAGCGATCTGCTACAATGGATAGAGCGCACCATCGAAGCGCTGGGCGACAGGACCTTCGCCAATTCATTGGAAGGAGTACGACAACAACTTATACAGTTCGCCAACTACCGCACTGTGGAGAAACCACCCAAGTGAGTTTTTTATACAATTACTTACTACTAAGTTAGTAAAGGTACAAATCTTTATTAACTACAATGTTCTATCTATCTATATAATATAGAAGAGAGTTTTACGGTTTTGATTTAAGAATATTTGCTTTAAGTTTTATTTACAAAGTTGTAGTAGTTATATAACTTTACTTATAAATAGGTTAACCTAAAGAACAATAGATTGAAACTGTTATATAGAAGTAATAGATTTAGACGGAACAACTTAAAAATAGAAATAATACTTCTTGAATTAAACTTAATTTTTAGCATTATTGAATAGATATTTTTATGGTTTCACTGCCCAATTCATAGTATAATTGCCACTTTTTCAAATTATTTTTAAGACATGTAATATTGTTAATTTTTTTAATAATGTATATATATAAAATATAAATTATTTCATTATAACATGTGTGAGCGATGATAGCTCAGTTAAACGACAATTAAATACAGTTTGGAGGTTCTAAAGCTCTGAATTTTTCATATTTATGTTTGGATAATTTAAAATTGATCGTAATTTTCGTAAGTTTATGCTTTGGAGGGTACATAATGTCGTCGTCATTGCCGATTTTTCACACTATGGGGTGCCACAGTGACACATAGTGGTAATATTGTAAGACGTGACGTAACGAGGTTGTACACGCGCGCAGGTTCGTGGAGAAGGGCAACCTGGAGGTGGTGCTGTTCACGCTGCAGTCGCGCATGCGCGCCGCCAACCAGCGGCCGTACACGCCGCGCGAGGGCCGCATGATCCACGACATCAACCGCGCCTGGGAGCGCCTCGAGAAGGCCGAGCACGAGCGCGAGCTCGCGCTGCGCGAGGAGCTCATCCGCCAGGAGAAGCTCGAGCAGCTCGCCGCCAGGTAACATTAACTCTTGCATTTGTACCATATTGAAGCTGACCTGAATGGATCGAGAGGTGGGAGATATTATTTAGTGTACAAAAGTGGAATGGCATCCCCGTCTGCGCTATCAGTATACATTGGCAGGGCACCAGTAAGCGATAATAGATGGGGATAGAAGCACGCCAGTTGGCTAACCATGACCAATTCAACAGGAATTCGCGCGTAATACCTTTGGTATTGCAGGCGTTCATAGGCTACGGTAACCGCTTACCATCAGGTGGGCCGTATGCTTGTTTGCCACCTCAGTGGTATAAAAAAATTCAATGCGATAGTTTCCAAGGGAAACCGCAAGGAGGTTGACCTAATCGTGTGTATTGCTACCAATAGAGCTACTAATTCCCATTACTGTCAATTCCTTATCCCCCATTACGTAGGAATTTTCAACACTGGGATATGAGTTGTTCAATTTGATGTAAAAACAAAATTGTTTAATATAAAAAAGATGCCAATAAAAAATATGGTCAATTTAATGGTAAACAGTTATCGCAGTTCACAATTGTTTGCAATACGAGAGGCAAAGGCATCGCTTTACTGACTTTTGTGCAATAAAGATATATGAAGCCACAGCATGCAATCGTTTCTTAGTGTTGAAGAACTGTGTGTAACTATTTAAAATTTGTATACCTAAATACATCAACATTTTTTTTTATTTCTTCATTAGATTCAACCGCAAAGCACAAATGCGAGAGACATGGCTGTCGGAGAATCAGCGGCTGGTGAGCCAGGACAACTTCGGGTTCGATCTGGCCGCGGTGGAGGCGGCCGCCAAGAAGCACGAGGCCATCGAGACAGACATCTTCGCTTACGAAGAGCGCGTGCAGGCTGTTGTCGGCGTCTGCTCCGAGTTGCAGGCCGAGAGGTATTCACGTTTTATTAGTTTTTATCTGCGACTTCGTCCGTGTTACCGGTTTATGGTGATTGACCGGGGTAAAAAGCAGTCTATTACGTTATTATTTAGTCTGATGTATGTAGCGAATATCAGTTATGAGTAGTTCTATAAGTTATGCACTACTAGCGTAATTTGTAACCTTCAATCGAGTCTTAAAACAATTTTTTTTTTATTTACATGACATGTACACGACTGGTAGAGGTATTTCAGGAACTTTTCTTAAGGCAGTCTAAAGTATTCTATAAACTGCCAGAGTTACACTTACAAAATACATTTTTACATTATCCTCTACTGTGTACAGTAGAGGATAATGTAATAATGTTTTATCCTTTTATCCATTTATTATTACTTATTATCCATTATCCTCTACTGTGTACAGTAGAGGATAATGTGTTTTATACAACTGGGGATAAGTTCTATTTTCATAATTAAATTTTGTAACATTTTCTTGAGATTATTTATTTATTTTATTTATTTATTTATTCTTTATTGCACAATAAAATTTTGTACAAATGGCGAGCTTAATGCCATATGGCATTCTCTACCAGCTAACCATTGGGTAAAAACAGAAAGCCTATGAAGGGCAGATGTGGTGAAAAATATGTGACATTATGTTATTTTTATAGATAATTACTATGTCTGAGATAAAAGAAATAAAATCTTGTAATTACAAGATTTTATTTCTTTTATCTCAGAAGATTTATGTTGTGACTTATTTATAAGTACAAGTTGATTGATATATACTTCTTACGAGGGATTGATTAATTATTTAAAAGAGTTTATAATAATAATATATAATATGAATAAATATAAAAAAAATATTTCTTTTCTATTCTTAAATTTTTGCCAACATAAGAAAATATATGAATTGTGCAAAAGACAATTCATAATACAACAAATAGATTATTAGTATGATATTATGTGAATTCATAATGCGGTAGAATCATCCAGACTTAGTGGTTCAGATTTATTTGCATTTTGTTTTAAATAACCACCTCTGACTTAATTCTAAGAATTTAAAGGAATCATTCTTGTTTCTACTGCAAACAAGAATTATGTTAATTACTGGTGATGTGTCTTTCTTTCATGTTTATTACCTGTGCAGGTTGAGTGTAAATAAGGTATTATTTACACTCAACCTGCAAAGATATTACCTAATATTTTAAGATTTTGTTCAACAAAAAAAAATCTGAAAGTCAATTTTTATTTGGCGAAATGTTTTTTCGATTTCGCTGTGTTCAGTAACCAGTTTTGACAAAATTTGTATAGAATTAATTAAAAAGGGTATCCTTTAAATCGCTTTACAACGGGTCTTTTTTTTTTGAAGTTGCTGGAAAAAATATAAACAGATTGGAACCTCTAACTGTTTGGAAATACAGAAAAAACCTTTTCTTTAACAGGAAAATTGTGTTTAACTGGAAATTGGTTACAATAGTTCTCTTCAACAGGTATCACGATTTGGAGCGCGTATCGGCCCGACGCGACAATGTATTGCGTTTGTGGGCATATCTATTGGAACTTCTACGCGCCCGCCGCGCTCGACTCGAACTTTCTCTGCACTTGCAGCAGAACTTCCAGGTACCTCTAGAATTTATTTTTATCTTCCATTCGAAACTGTACCTTATAATTATTGTAAAGGGATTAACAATTGAATGCAACTGACCTAATCTTTATAAAACACATGAAAATATTGTTTTTGAATGATCACTGTCGGTCCTGGTATTACAGGCGTCCCTATATAACATTAATTGCTTGTCGTCAAATAGACGTATACTTCGTAAAGGGGTGGGCAGTAGCATCCCTCTTAAAACATCTGTAAAAGCCTAACTGCGGTTATCAAGCGTGACAACTACGGGCCAAACTCTTCATATGAGGAGGGCTTATGTTCAGCAGTGGATAGACAATGTCTGAAATGATTTATACAGAAAATAGCCATGTCTTATGAACATCTAAAGTAAAATAGCTGTTTTTTACATAACTAGCCGTAATTTCGAGTTACGCTTCTTATTATCAACTTCAAGTTATACTTTTCAATCTAAGATCATATTTATTTAAAAAAGGAAAACATTTAATGGAAATAAACAATCATAAATTAAAAAGATCTCGGTACTCATATACTATTTTCAATGATCTCAGGAAATGTTGTACATCCTGGACTCGATGGAAGAAATCAAGATGCGCCTGCTCACGGACGATTACGGCAAGCATCTGATGGGTGTGGAAGACCTGCTACAGAAGCACGCGCTCGTCGAGGCCGACATCAACGTACTGGGAGAACGCGTCAAGGTGCCGTCATTTTATACATATTTTTTAAAAAAGGGGTGATAATGAAATGGTAACTCCGCCTGTGCTAACGGTATACGCTGGCGGGGCATCAGTGAGAGATGATAGATGAGAATGAAAGCAGGTAGCCTATCGTGAAGAATTCCACGTGAAGTAACCACGATAATTTCCAGGGGGAACCACGTGGAGGTCAACCTGATTAGTAACATTGCTAACAATGGGGCTGTTTAGTCCCATCGCTAACAATCCCTTTCCCTCCATTTTACATATATATATAAATACTTCAAGGATAATTAATTGCTGATTCCACTGTCTTTCTTAAAGTGATGATCGTAACATTGCTGGTTGTTTTTTGATATTGAATATTGGGCTAAAACATAATGTCTATGTTTTATAACAATTTTTAACAGTAGTAATTAGTTTTTATTTGCAACAAAGTTTAATTATAATTATATTGAACAAAAGTAGCCTATGTTCTTCTTTATCCCAATTATATTTAGTTGAGTTATTAAAATGCCAATTGAAAAGATTTTATGTATTTACTTATTTAACTTTTTGTTGCACCCAAAAACATAAAAATAAATAATGACATATAAACAATTCAAGTGAAATACAATATCATAAAGTACAGATTAAAATATACACATAAAAGGTATAAAAGGTATATATTTTTTTATATTTTTGGAAATTCTTTTATCTATTACAATATTAATAAGTAATATGGGTTATAGTATTTACAAAAAAACGTTCGGATCATGCCGGAGTGCTAGTTTGTAATATTAGTACAGAAAATTTTCTCTTCTTTTGTGAATTGAGTTAAGATATAAGAGTAAGTTGTGGGTGGCGATGTGCAGGTGGTGGTCGGGCAGTCGCAGCGGTTCCTGGAGCAGGAGGAGGGCGGCTACCGGCCGTGCGACCCCGCCATCACCGTCGAGCGCATCCAGCAGCTCGAGAACGCGTACGCGGAGCTCGTGCACCTCGCCGTCGAGCGCAGGTAATCACACGCACACACTCCTGTACTTCTACACAAGAGTGGTAGCTTCACTGTTCTGAACTTCTTCACGGTTGAAACACGAATGGGACAGAGGTACCCAACCAATCGACTTTTGTACAAAGTCTACCTCTGGATGTTTTAACTGCACAAATATCATCAGAAAATATTTACAATTTTTATATTATAATATTGCTATAGTTATAATTACTATGTACTTTGTTACATAACAGAAAACGGTTGGAGGACAGCCGCAAATTGTGGCAGTTCTACTGGGACATGGCCGACGAGGAAAACTGGATCAAGGAGAAGGAACAGATCGTCTCCGTGGACGACATCGGCCACGACCTCACTACTGGTGAGTAATATTAATATATGGGTAAATGTTAAACATATTGCTTTATAATATTTTTTATAATAGATATGAAATGGTAATGTTACATAACGTCTGTGCTCTATCGGTATACACTGACGGGACGTGGTAAATGTTAATAAGTGATAGGTGAGGATGAAGTCTGGTCAGTTGTTCCATCGTGACTTATTTATCATCATCATCATATCAACCTTTAACATTCCACTGCTGAACACAAGGCTGGGGGGGGGGGGCAGTAGTTGTCACGCTTGGCAGGCGTGTTAGCAATTGCAGTCAGGATTTAGAGATGTTTTAAGAGGGACGCTGCTGTCCTTACCTTCGTCCTTCGTTAGTTGCTTCTTACGACACCTACAGGAAAGAAAAGGGATGGCCTATTCTATGCTGGGACACATCACACGTGATACGTCAACGTGACTTATTCACTAAGAATTAACGACGATGGTTTACAGAAGGCACTATGCGAAGGTAACCTGACCTATTAGGTTACCATATATAATATTACTTTTTATATAATATACTCTGGTTTATTGCTAACAATTGGGTTACTATTTCCCGTTACTAATAAATTTTGCTGGTTGTGTGCGCAGTGTACCTGCTGATCTCGAAGCACAAGGCGCTGGAGGCGGACGTGCAGGCGCACGAGCCGCAGCTGATGGACGTGGCCGCCGTCGGCGACGAGCTCGTCTCGCAGGGACACTTCGGCGCCGACAGAATACAGGTACTCATTGCACGTACATATACAATTAATACTAGCCTAACACCACATTTATCAACGTTTAGTTGCCGATCTTCCGCTTTCCGAAAAATAGATGATAGTACACTGCAACCTCTTCAAACTCCATCGCGAATTTTTAATCAAATACTACATAAATACATACTACATTAAAATATATACTACATAAATACATACTACATTAAAATATATACTACATAAATACATACTACATTAAAATATATACTACATAAATACATACAACATAAATACCTTCCTTCAGTGTAAGATTAATAAGAGTACGCGCCCCGAACTCCTCAAACTAACAATATAAACTCTTCAATAAAAAGGACCCATATATTGTGCCCTCCCCCCACTCTTCGAAAAGCGAAGGATAGCACACGTTAGAAGACATTGGAGGAAGCCTATATCCGGCAGTGGTCTATCCACTACAAGTTGAAATGAGGATGATAATGACTGAGCTTTAAAATATTACATTAGAGATTTTTAATTAGAGATTAACTCCTATCCTTATGAAGCTTTATACAGATATAGGTCAAAGTGTAAATATTAGGTACACGTGTCCATGTCTTCCTGAAATCGGTACATTTTCTGCTTTTGAAATCCATGTGTACGAAATAGCAGGTTAAAAACTAATAGAAAATGAAGATTTTTTTAATGTGATGCTAGTGTCAGATATTATTACACGGAAGAATGTATTTAAAGGATTAAAGGTTAAATAAGATCGTACAATGTGATGGTTTGCTGTACAGGAGCGGCTGCGCGACATCCTGTCGCAATGGAACCACCTGTTGGACCTGGTCGCGCTGCGCAAGAACCGGCTCGACGCCGCCGTGCGCTACCACCAGCTGTTTGCCGATGCGGACGACATCGACAACTGGATGCTGGACACGCTCAGGTCAGTTTTTTTTTAATGGGTGATAATGGAATTGTAACCCCACCCGCGCTATCGGTATACACCGGCGGGGCACCAGTGAAGGATGATAGGTGAGGATGAAGCAGGTCAGTTAGCCCATCGTGACGAATTCAACAAGAATTGTTTTCGATGGTTTCCAGGGAGAACCACGTGGAGGTCGACCTAATAGGGCATATTGCTAGCAATGGGGCTGTCAAACTCCATTGCTAACAATCCCTTTCCCCTCGCTCAGGTCAGTTGTAAAACGTTAAGGTGACTTTGCCATGATAATATCATACCGATATGATGATTGGTGGGGATGAAGTCAGGTTCGCTTGGTTTATCATGACGTACTTGATAAATGTGTTTTTTTATTTTTATTTTAATAGGTAGAAATAAAATGGTATCCCCGCCTCCGTTATTAGTATACATTGGCGGGGTAGCAGTGAGTGATGTAGGTGAAGATGAAAACAGATCAAGTGGTCCATCATGACGATTTCAACAAGAGTTAATAACGATGGTCACCAGGGGAATTCGCTTGGAGGTCGGCTGATAGGGTATATTGCTAGCAATGGTGGTTTTAGACCCCATTACTAACAATCTCTGGTTAACTTGTTGTGTCATATTAATTTCTATAATATGAATTTAAAAAAAAATTGTTTTTATATAGTCAGCTATTTAATAAGTATATCAGGTGTTATAATAATACAGTTTAAGGATTACCAGTAGTCCAAAGTCTATCCATGTTTCGCGAAATACTACTTAGTAATGATACATATAATAGTGATATTAATCTAACAAAAAATATTCAGATTGGTGTCCTCCGAAGACACGGGTGTGGACGAGTCTCAGGTGCAGAGCCTGCTGAAGAAACACAAGGATGTCACCGACGAACTCAAGAACTACGCCACCGTTATCGAGCAGCTTAAACAACAGGTATGTTTTGTAATTGTAGTGAAAATAGCTCCTCTTAAACTAGTAAAGCAAACGAAAGAGAGTAAAGGGATTAATCTGGAGAATATAAACTATACACATATACACAGATGGCTATAGAACTGGGAGCATTTTTCTTAGACCTTAATATGAATATACACATACTGCTTGGTGAGCACACTTCAATGTTCCAATGTGTAGTATTAACTGAGTCGGCGGTAGTGGTACATATGTTGATGGTTAATGATTATGACATTAGACTCTTGTCTAACAGCGTGACAATACTAAAAGCACTAGGAAATAACAAGACAACAAATTAATAATAGAATGCCATCAAGCACTGTTATCTTCTTATGGATAAAGGGACACAATGTACCTTATGGTAACAATGTCGCAGAAGAGCCAACTAGTAGAGGTTCTAGTACAAAAGTGGTAGGCTGTACCTATTTATTTTTCTCTCATTGTCGTAATTTTGAACACTGATTCGTCAAAGATTTACTTACTTGACATATAAAACTGAAGATGTAAATAGGCTATTGATTGTACACAATCAAACCAACGTTGAATTAACTATTGTCAAAATCTTTTTCTAGATAGACAGAATACTTAAAATAATGATAGGGGTAATAATGGGTTGTTTTTTTTTTCTTAAATATTTATACATAATGGGGATCACAGACAGTTCCCTTCGGCTTTTTTGACGTCGGAGAAATAATTTCTCATGTTATCTTGGAATATGTAATATTGTGGTTTTTCAACTGTTGTAATAAAAAATTAATATTGAACCATATACGTAGATTAAGATACGTAGACACGTCGTCGTGACAGATGTTAATATATGACAAATCATGATAAATATTTACACATGGTAGCTATGAAAGAGGTGTTTTTTTAATGGAAGCTAACGGTATACGCTGGTGAGATACCAGAGAGGGATGATAGGTGATAATGAAAAAGCAGGTCAGTTAGCCCATCGTGATGAATACACTTGGCATTCAGCATGTTGGTTTCCAAGGCGGACCACCGGGAGGTCGACCTGATAGGGATATATTGCTAACAATGTGACTGGTAGCTTGCATTTTTAACAAGTCTCCAGTAGATTAGGGAGATCGTTCCGTAATGTCTGTGATACTAGAAAGCTTCTGTGTTTCTGGGCGGAATTTTTTTTTAATCGGTGATAATGAAATGGTAACGCCACCCGCGCTATCGGTATACACTTACGGGGCGCCAGTGAAGGATGATAGATGAGGATAAAGCAGGTCAGTTAGCCCATCGTGACGAATTCAACGAGAAATGTTCACGATGGTTTCCAGGGGAAACCACGTTGAGGTTGACCTAATAGGGCATATTGCAAGCAATGGGGCTGTCAAACTCCACTGCTAACAATCGGTTTCGACCTCTGGGCGGAGTTGATAGGCGCGATGGTTCGAATGAGTATGTGACGGCAGGCGGCGGCGCTGAGCCCCGAGGACGCGGCGAGCGAGGCGGTGCGCGCGCGGCTGGCGGCGGCGGACGCGCGGCACGCCGAGCTGGCGCAGCTGGCGCGCCTGCGCAAGCAGCGCCTGCTCGACGCGCTCTCGCTCTGCAAGCTGCGCGCCGAGGCCGACGCCGCGCACCAGTGGATCGCCGAGAAGGACCGCATGCTCGACACCATGCTGCCGCCCAAGGACATCGACGACGTCGAGATCATGAAGCACAGGTGCGCCGCTACCTCGCCTCGCCTCGCATCACACCGACATAAACACTCTAACAACCACTATAAACAACATTTTTACAATTACTTTATTCCCGGCGATATTAATACAAAAAATATTTTGCTGAATTGTCAAATAAAAGAGATAATTTTATGGATAAATTTAAATAAATGTTACCTCAGAATTGACCCCAATTAAAAATATTCGTTTTGCTTGATTTTGTGTTGAAAATATTGAATTCAAAATTATGTTTGCATCGAAATAACAAATTCAAATAAATTAAGATTTGTTTTCTTTTTATATATATATATATATATATATATAATGTATGTAATGATGAGGCAAACAAATATATACTTTTCTAAAAGATATTTTATATGACTATAGAAAATTTTACACTTTTAAAATCATTGCAAATACTAGTTCATTCTGAATCGTGTGGCAACATCGAAATTATGTCAATATTCAAAAATAATTCATCAATTTTTTTCTGATTATTTAAAAAAAAAATACTTTAATAACGCATAAAGAATGAAAATTATTTAATAAAATTGTTTTTTGAAAATTAACAGGTAAGTCCGATCCTTGCCAGACTTGGTATCGATGTTCAAAACGTATAATATTTTTTTTATGTTTTTGTGTCCGTATTCAGATACGACGGGTTCGACAAGGAGATGAACGCGAACGCGTCCCGCGTGGCGGTGGTGAACCAGCTGGCGCGGCAGCTCATCCACGTGGAGCACCCGCAGGCGCCGCACATCCAGCGTCGCCAGGCCGACCTCAACCAAGCCTGGGCTGCGCTCCGCGACAAGGTACCGTACATAGTACATACAGCGACATCTAGTTGTAATTACAAACATAGCACACTTGTACTACACAACTAATACACATACACTTATTTGCAAATACATTCATATTACACTTAGAAAACACCGAGACCAATACAGATAAACATATTTAGAAAAGAATAGAAATAATCTTCATTCGAATAGATTTGTTTACAAGCTCTTTTAAGTCGTAAATTTTTTATGATTGTACTGCTGGGTTGGAATGTTGTTACCCGTTGAGGAGAACCCGCAAGAAACTTAACAGTTACACGAATACGAAACTATTTATTTTTATCTGTATATATACATAGATAATACTACAGTAAATGTATTTTTTTAAAAAGGCAAAAAATATATCATGAGGAGAACTCAGTGTTATCTAGGTAAGGTAGCGAAAATTTCGTCTCTACTCTACCTAACCGCCACAGAGTTACACAGACATATACAAAAATGTTCTAACCAATTACAGAGGCCACAGCCAAATATTGTAAAAAAAATGCAATTTACAACTGTATATATTTAATTCTAATATAAAATTATTAAATTAAATATTCTCATAATTAATTACAACTATGTGATACTTCCACAATGGATGAATCAATTCTGAAATCTTTTGGTGAGGTGCCCGCCCACCTGGGCGAGGAAGGTCAGGTGTTCGCGATAGCGCCTCTGATTCGGCAACTTTCTTAGAAGCAGACCGAACACGGAACGCTGACTGTGAGGTATTGTGAGGCAACACGACTGGGATGCCACTCTATGCAGATTCAGGGTTGTCACTCTATGTAACAAATGTCATGTTTCTGTGTGTAAACATTTTTACGAGAAGAATACTTTTTAAACAAACTTACCGGACCTAATACTGGAGCAGTTGTCTCGCTCATACTGTAGTTGAAACTTGTAACTCTATCTCTATTATTCCCTGGTATACAATATTGAATATCAGTTGTTAAAATATTATGTTGTACGAATATAACCAAATAATAAATAATTATTTCAAATTGAAATAACTCTCTTGGTGTGTTATTGTCTACATTTAAACTATTTATGTTCTGCTGTAGGCGGAACAAAAGAAGGACGAGTTGAAATCAGCACAAGGCGTGCAGACATTCCATATCGAATGCCGCGAGACCGTCTCCTGGATCGAGGACAAGAAGCGTATCCTGCAACAAACCGGGGATTTGGAGATGGACCTCAACGGTAATGTATTTTTTTATACAAACAAAGCATACGGCCCGTCTGATGTTAAACGGGATTACCGTAGCTTATAGACACCAGCAACACGCATCACATGCGCGTTGCCGACCCTTAAGAAACCTTAATACGCTGTTTTTGAATAATTTCATGTGGTTTCTAGGGGAAATCTCGGTTGGAAGATTGTATAGCATTATTTGTTTTATGTTGCTTACATAATTATATTAAAACAGAGAGATGAAGACTACAAAAGTCGTTACATCAATTTGTTTCCTATTTCAAATCGTATGTAAATGTGAATGTTTTCCCGCCCAAGGAATTCAAATAACCTAATTTTTTTATGGGCGATAATGATATGGTAACCCCGCTTGCGCTATCAGTATACATTAGCAGGGCACCAGTGAGAGATGATAGGTGATGATGAAAGCAGATCAGTTAGCCTATTGTGACGAATTCTATAGAATTAATCACGATGGTTTCCAGGGAACTAATAACGAGGCAGTTAGACTCCATTACTAACCATCCCCTTTTACCTCCTAATATTTTTTAAAATTTCTTACCAAATGGAAAAAAACCTTACGAAAAAATCTTATGGAAAAAAGTCCGGTATATAAATGAATCATAAATACGTTATTTTTGTCATAAGCCACGTGAGAGGAGAGTGACGGCTAGTTAACGGATAGAATGTGTGGTCGCAGGCGTGATGACGCTGCAGCGGCGGCTGTCGGGCATGGAGCGCGACCTGGCGGCCATCCAGGCGCGCATCTCGTCGCTGGAGAGCGAGGCGCAGGCCATCGAGGAGGAGCACCCCGACGAGGCGCAGCTCATCCGCGACCGCGTGCACCTCATCACCGAGAACTGGGACCAGCTCACGCAGATGGTACGCTCACCTCACTTTACAACTCGCATTTTTCCTGTAGACAAGTGCCCAAAGAGTCTATCAGTTGATACAACCCACGACAGAACGGGACGACAGACTTCGCTGTGTGTTTCATGTCATAAGTGCGGTAGTGATAACGTATCTATCGATAGATTTGTTTGCTAAGTAAGCGTGCGTTCCTCAGGAATGGCAACGCATGGGGGGTATCATGGGTGACCCAGTATACTCTGTTATGTCCATGGCACTGCGCATGTTTATAGGCGACGGTTACTACTTTCCATGGTGGTAAGTTGGTGGACCGTCAGCTTGTTTGCCATTCTAAGTTGTATAAAAAAAAATCTAAGAGGGCGGAGTTATATCCATTGTAAGATCATAAAAGGAGATATTTAATATTGAGCCTTATTGTATATTATAACAAAAATTTAAAAAAAATACAAGCATTAATTAATGGAGAAGTAGAATGAAAATAGTTTTTAAAATTCTTTCTTGACAAAAAAAAATTAAGCATATAGTATTGTTCAAAATTTCGCCTTTAGCTTTGACATTTATTTTTTAATAAATTAATGGCATTAATTTGATATGGTTTAGCTCAAAGAGCGCGACGCAAAACTGGAGGAAGCAGGCGACCTCCACCGTTTCCTGCGCTCAGTGGACCACTTCCAAGCCTGGCTCACCAGGACTCAGACCGACGTCGCTTCCGAAGGTAGTTATTTTATCTAGCTGTTCAATTGTATTATTTGTTATTAATGATAGAGAAATTAAAGCTTATTGAAAAAAAGTGTGATTACACAAGTAGCTTGAAGAAGTTAATGTTATGAGGAATGTCATTGTCTCATAATGAGAGAATTGTCAAATGTGAACCGATTTATTAGCGATTTTAATTGACAGAATTTGAAGATGGTATAATCTTAATATACATTTTGTAGAAATATATTTTTTATATTATATATTTTTCTAAACTAGTAATTATATTTCAATGTCGAATTTAATGGCATAAATTAATGTTGTAGATACACCATCAAGTTTGGCGGAGGCGGAGAAACTGCTGTCTCAGCACCAGACCATCAAGGAGGAGATCGACAACTACAAGGACGAGTACGCGAAGATGATGGAATATGGAGAAAAGATTACTGCGGTGAGTGTGATATAAGTATTTCATATATCCATTATCATCTATAAAAATATATATATATATACCATTTTTTTTATGGATATGATTTTTATTGATATGGATACCCCGCCTGCACTATCGGTATACGCTGACGGGGTACCAGTGATAGATGACAGGTGAGGATGAAAGCAGGTCAGTTAGCCCATCGTGACGAATTTCACAAGAATTAACCACAATGGTTTCCCTCTGGAAACCACATGGAGGTCAACCTGATAGGGTATATTGTTAGTAATGGAGCTGTTAGATCCCATTATTAACAATCCCTTCCCCCATATGGTATATTTTCTGCTAATGAAGATAGGTGGCGTCCATTAATTGCATATTTTTAAATGAGACACGGGTGGGGAGAGGGGGGGGACTGTCAATTTTGCTAAAATTTTAAGAAAAAGTTTCGTACTAAACTCTAATTAAAATTTTATGTATAATATAATCGTTTGGGCATCATAAAATTATAATTGTTAGTAAATAATTTCATATTTGTGCAGGAACCGTCGACCCAGGACGACCCACAGTACATGTTCCTCCGCGAGCGTCTGAAGGCACTCCGCGAGGGCTGGGCGGAACTGCAGCAAATGTGGGAGAACCGACAGCAGTTGCTGGCGCAAAGCCTCGAGCTGCAGCTACTGCAGCGTGACGCTCGCCAGGCCGAGGTGTTGCTCGCGCACCAGGAACTTAGGTAACGTAGCTGTTTATTATTTCACTACAACATTTACACTATTACAATTCACTATTTGTTGAATTTGCATATATGTTTACTACTAAGATTGTACGAAGTCGTTAGCGTAAATATTTTATAGCTTATCTTATCCATTTCTGTCGCTAAGCAGAAATATATTTCTGTTCGAAGGAAGTTTCTACTTGTTTATATGAGAGTGAATATACTAGGTTGCACTCTGTCATAGTCTTCATGTTGAGGATACATGAGCTGTCTGTGAAATTAATGACTACAATATTTACTTACTATGGGACGAACTATATAAATAAGATTAATTAATCGTATAATGTAGAAAATTGCTTAAGCATTGTAACCATTCCTGCATACAAAATTCTTTTTAGTTAAATAACCAATGTAAAGAATTATTTTCACGTAATATTTCTTATTTCTCAGGTTGGCAAAGACTGAACCACCAACGAACTTGGAACAAGCTGAGAACCTCATCAAAGAACACGAAGCCTTCCTTACGACAATGGAAGCAAATGACGACAAGATCAATTCTGTTGTACAGTTCGCCAATCGTCTCGTAGAAGAGAGGCACTTCGATGCCGACAAGATTCAACGCAAAGCCGAAAATATCGAGGCGAGGCGTAACGCCAACCGCGAAAAAGCTGTACAGCAAATGGAAAAACTCCAAGATCAACTACAGCTGCACCAGTTCCTTCAAGACTGCGACGAACTCGGAGAGTGGGTGCAAGAAAAAAATGTCACTGCTCAAGACGATACCTACCGCTCGGCGAAAACTATCCACTCAAAATGGACACGCCATCAAGCGTTCGAGGCAGAGATCGCGGCTAACAAGGAACGCTTATTTGCCGTACAGAACGCGGCCGAGGAACTGATGAAACAAAAACCGGAATTCGTGGAAGTTATTTCACCGAAGATGCAGGAGTTGCAAGATCAATTCGAAAACCTGCAAACAACTACAAAGGACAAAGGTGAACGTCTCTTCGACGCCAACCGCGAGGTGTTGCTGCACCAGACGTGCGACGATATCGACTCATGGATGAACGAGCTCGAGAAGCAAATCGAGAACACAGACACTGGCACTGATCTAGCATCTGTAAACATTCTTATGCAGAAGCAACAGATGATTGAGACTCAGATGGCCGTCAAAGCGAAACAGGTGACTGAGCTGGAGACCCAAGCGGAGTACTTGCAGAAGACAGTGCCTGATAAGATGGAGGAGATAAAGGAGAAGAAGAAGTCTGTGGAACAGCGATTCGAGCAATTGAAGGCCCCGTTGTTGGACCGCCAACGTCAACTGGCGAAGAAGAAGGAGGCGTTCCAGTTCCGCCGCGACGTAGAGGATGAGAAACTGTGGATCCACGAGAAGATGCCGCTCGCCACCAGCACGGACTATGGCAACTCACTATTCAATGTACAAATGCTCCAGAAGAAGAACCAGTCGCTTAAGACTGAAACCGATAACCACGAGCCAAGAATCTTAACTGTGATTGCGAATGGACAGAAGCTGATCGACGAGGGACATGAAGCCACTCCCGAGTTCAAGAAGCTCATTGAAGAGCTCACGGCGAGATGGCAAGAACTTAAAGGTAACTTAAAGGTTACTGTATATGTGTTATTAGGTTTAAAATATCAAGTATATAAAGAACTCAGGGTCAACTATTGATTCTTTTTTGCATCATTATATGTGTTATATACGCTTTCGTTTGCATTCTTAACTAAGTAAATGTAAATAGGTACAGAGGAGTAACACCTTAGTCATCAGGAATGGCAACCCATGGGAGGTATCATGGCTGAAACAGTATATTTTGTTATGTCCATAGTACTGCTCATGTCTATAGGTGACGGTTACCATTTATCATCAGATGGGCTTGTTTGCCATTCTAAGTCACATAAAAAATAATTTCTTATGGGATTAAGAGAATAGAGTTGCAAAATTGTCTTTCTCGTTAATTAATTAGACTCAATTGTTTATTGTAGATGCTATCGAACAACGCAAGAGCAACCTGTCCCAATGGGAGAAGGCTCAACAGTACCTATTCGATGCGAATGAGGCGGAGGCTTGGATGAGTGAGCAGGAACTGTACATGATGGTGGAGGACCGCGGCAAGGACGAGATCTCCGCACAGAATCTGATGAAGAAGCACGAGATCCTGGAACAGGCGGTGGACGACTACGCGCAGACCATCAGGCAGCTCGGCGAGACCGTTCGTCAACTCACTGCGGAGGAACACCCACTCAGGTACTAATTATAATTATTTAAACACCATTAATATTATTTTGATTGAACCTGGTTGGGGATAGTGATATTAAGATTATTATTATATGTAATTCATATTTGTCTTTTGTGTAATTTGTTAAAATTAGACAAAAATATTTAATATCTTTTAGATTCACAAATAATAATAATAATATGCATATTAAATAGAAGTACAATCAATATATATATATATATATATATATATATATATATATATATATATATATATATATATATAACAACAATTAATAATGTATTAAAAGTAATTTTGTTTTATTTTCTCCAAAGTCTTTATGTTTTTGACAATTTTTTTTGTGATATTGTACAATGACTTGGCCTAAAATGGACCTTTCTCGTTTCTGTTATTTGTAATATTTGCATATGTAAATAAAACGATGGTTTGATCGATCGGTTGTTTGTGTCGGCAGTGAGCAGATCTCGGTGAAGCAGTCGCAGGTGGATAAGCTGTACGCGGGACTAAAGGACCTGGCGGGCGAGCGGCGAGCCAAGCTGGACGAGGCGCTGCGGCTGTTCCAGCTGTCGCGCGAGGTCGACGACCTCGAGCAGTGGATCACCGAGCGCGAACTCGTCGCCGGCTCGCAGGAGCTCGGGCAAGACTACGACCACGTCACGGTACGCACACACATTTACACGTACACGCACACGCACTCGCATACATACATCGTACGACACCTCAATGTCACACTACTATCTTAATACCTTTAAATTTCTTGTCAGGTTGACGTCCATATCCCCTTAAAAACCATTGCGATTTCAAAACAATAATTCAACTGATCTGTATTTTATCCTTATTATTTATTTATTAGTTATTAGTACTCAATACCTTAAATACATTAATACATCAGCACCTCGACTCCATGATGGAACTACACCTTTGCGACGTCCCCGACAACCTCAACGATACCTCACCAATACAATAATAAATAAATAGTCGTAATATTATTGCACCCCTATATCTTGTGTGTAGATTATTTCATACTTTGACACCTATGTTATGTCTTTTCATTTATTTTATGCTACATTATACTCACAACAGAAAATTTTCAATTACCTTGTAAATCTTTCGTACAAAAAGTAAATACTAATAAACATTTTACTTGGCAGCTGCTGTGGGAACGATTCAAGGAGTTCGCCCGCGAGACCCAAGCAGTGGGTTCGGAACGTGTGGCGACCGCCGAGCGGATCGCGGACCAGATGATAGCCATGGGCCACTCGGACAATGCCACGATCGCGCAATGGAAGGAGGGGCTCAAGGAGACCTGGCAGGATCTCCTCGAGCTCATCGAGACCAGGACACAGGTTTGTGGTGCTATATTTATGCACTATACAAAATATATGAATGCAAATAGCATTGTACTAGTCTGAGTGTTTTCTGTATATAATATGTATGTATGTATGTATTTACAAAAAAACTCTCGTTTGTTTAATTCTGTGGTATTGTAATGTAAACTGGACTTTACTTTCCGCGCTAAACCTCTCATAAAATATCGCATATCATATAATAGTCGTGTGGTATTTATTACTAATATTATTGCAGATGCTGGCGGCGTCGCGCGAGCTGCACAAGTACTTCCACGACTGCAAGGACACGCTGCAGCGCGTGAACGAGAAGGCGCGCGGCGTGAGCGACGAGCTCGGCCGCGACGCCATCAGCGTGGGCGCGCTGCAGCGCAAGCACCACAACTTCATGCAGGACCTCGCCACGCTGCAGCACCAGGTCGACGCCGTCAGCGCCGAGTGCGCCCGCCTGCAGGCCTCCTACGCCGGCGACAAGGTGCGCCCAGTAACACTTGTGATTCGGGTTGACGTCACATTAGCGTGAATTTACTGGGTACAGAGGAATAACACCTGAGTTCTCAGGAATGGCAACGCATGGGGGGTATCATGGGCGAAACGGTATACTCTGTTATGTCCATGGTACTGCTCATGTCTATAGGCGACGGTTACCATTTTACATCAGGTGGGCCGTCAGCTTGTTTGTCATTCTAAGTTGTATAAAAAAAAGACATTCTATATATCTTTATATGTCTTCATATGCCACATAATCGTACCCATAATCATACAATATGCCACATAGTGAATCTGGCGTTGTTGACGATCGAATTGATACCGGAAGCTAGCGTTTCACAACGTAATATCGAGAGTAACAAACAGTATGCATGTGTGTCGAGCTGGGCACTAGGCGACGTGCACGGGAGGGTGGAGGTGTGTATCAGCCATAGATGCGGTGCGCAGGCGCTGGAGATCACGCGGCGCGAGGCGGAGCTGCGCGAGGCGTGGCGCGCGCTGACGGCGGCGTGCGGCGCGCGGCGCGGCAAGCTGCTCGACGCCGACGACCTCTACCGCTTCCTCACGCAGGTGCGCGCGCTCGCGCTCTGGATGGACGACGTCGTGCGCCAGATGAACACCGGCGAGAAGCCCAGGTAACACCCTCTTCGCACTGAACATACCGACCGCACTCGAATTAACATTAAAGAAATTTAGTTTAAACATTTTATAACGTCATGTATAACGTTATTGTATCACCATGTAACTTATTGACTTTTCCTATAATATACATACAACCCATTTTTCAATTTGAATTTATTTATTTATTCTGATTCGATGCATATTGAATGATTCAAGTGTACACATAGATCTTACACAATATGATGGCTTAACAACTGGAACATATTAAAACTTAAGGTCAAACCAGAAAAATAAAAAAAATAATTTGAAGTAGTTATTCTGTGAAACAAATCATTGACAGTAGCCACCTAGCAAAGTTAGTTTTTACATCAAAATAGTATAAAATGAAATGAAATGTACCCATATATATATATATATATATATATATATATATATATATATATATATATATATATATATATTTATATATATATATATATTTTTTTTTTCTTTATTTATCTCTATTTTCAGTTGTCCTACTAATCACTCCCTTTCTCTCCATTCCGTTTTTCGTACATTCCATCCATCTCTTTTTGGACCTTACTCTCGCTCTATGTACTTAAAACTATCGATATTAATTATAATACCTTTCTTGCCACATTCCCTTCTTCCCTACACATCACATGTCTATATCATGACAAACAATTACTTCTCACTTCTGACTTAAATATCATTATGTTCCAACAGAGATGTAAGCGGCGTGGAACTTCTAATGAACAACCACCAATCGTTGAAAGCGGAAATCGATACCCGCGAGGACACATTCACAGCGTGCATATCACTCGGGAAAGAACTACTGGCTAGACAGCACTACGCCTCCGCTGACATCAAGGAGAAGCTGCTGCAGCTCACGAACCAACGGAACGCGCTGTTGCGCAGGTGGGAGGAGCGCTGGGAGAACCTGCAGCTTAGTAAGTTTGTTTCATCATCATATCCATTACTTGTCCACTGCTGAATATAAACCTTGTTCTATGAGGGGGGAGGGGATACCACGCATGGCAGGCGGATTAGCAGCCTCGGTTAGACATATGTTTGATTTGTTTTTTGATTGATTTTGATGAGTGGTGATGTTAAAAGAGGGACCTTGCTGTCCATCCCTCGACCACTAAGACACACGGGAAAGGAAGTGGTGATTTATTCTATGCCAGAACTATGCGGCCAATTAAGTTTATTTACAATTATTTATTTTATCAGAATACACAGTTTTTACAAAGTGGACGACAATTAGAGTGGAATTCGCTCGTTTCTGAGTGTGCGTAAACATCAAAAGTACAGATAATATATAAGTATTAAAATCATTAACATGTATGCATGTATAAATTTTCGATGTTTAATGTCATCTGTGTGGATATCCCTGTCTCTCTTAGTATTTTTCATCTTTATAGGAAGATGGCAGTGAATTTACAGGGTACAGAGGAATAACACCTAAGTCCTCAGAAACGGCAACGCATGAGCGGTACCATGGGTGGAATAGTATACTCTGTTATGTCCATGGTACTGTTCATGTCTATAGGCGACGGTTACCACTTTCCATCAGGTGGGCCGTCAGCTTGTTTGCCATTCTAAGTTGCATAAAAAAACTAGTGTTACTGATTATGTGGGTACTATCTTTTCAAGTAGTTTTGAAAAGATGAAAGTTAAGTAGTTAAGGTTTTTTTATCGGCTCTAAAAACATCTTTTGGGTGTTTTTACGATTGGTGTCAAAATAAACTGTAGTATACAACATGAGTAACGTAATTCACTTTATTTGTAATACACACGATAATGGAATGGTAACACCACCTGCACTATCAGATTACGATGGCGGAATACCAATGAGGGATGATAGGTGAAGATGAAATCAGGTCAGTTAGTCCATCATGACGTATTAACTAAGAATCATGATGATGTCGACGAGCCATCCATCTTTAGTCCTGGAGTTCTTTTAATGAGTGATAATGGAATGGTAATCCCGGGGAGCTGTTAAATCCCCATTATTAACAATCCTTTTTCCCCCTTAGTCCTGGAGGTGTACCAATTCGCGCGCGACGCAGCTGTGGCGGAGGCGTGGCTGATCGCGCAGGAGCCGTACCTGATGTCGCAGGAGCTCGGCCACACCATCGACGAGGTCGAGAGCCTCATTAAGAAGCACGAGGCCTTCGAGAAATCCGCTGCAGCGCAGGAGGACCGCTTCAGCGCATTGCAGAGGCTCACCACGGTAATTATCTTTATTTATTAATTTACCAGAAGTACAATGTATAGATCTCGTCTACACAGAGGTACAGAGCTCTGACTTTCTAGTTTTTTCTTAATGCGGTAAAAATAAGTGATGACTCACCAGACTATGTTATCTACCATCGTAGATAAGGATGAAGTTTGGTTAGTTAATCCATCGTAACGAATTCAGTGGAATGTAACTACGATGGCCTCTATGGGGCACCGCGTAGTGGTCGACCTAGATACATTGTTAATAGGTCTATTAGTTCCCATTAAAAGTAAAACTTCCCTCTATCCATTCTTATTTCTACTGCAAAGTCTATGTTTGCATGGTTGTATTCAATTTGAAGGGTGTGACGTGACAGTGAAATTATAGGGGTATGGAGGCATAATACCATAATCCTTAACAATAGTAACGCATGAGGGGTAAAATTGGCATTACGTGTTCTGTGACGTTTATGGTGCTGTTAATGTCTAAAGGTGTCTGTTACCACTTTCTATCCACATCACATTAATTGAAATTAAGTATAAAAAAAAATGTACAAAGTAAATGAATTTACATATTGTGTGTTTATAAGTATATTTTATATTTGTTTTCGTATACCGGATTTAAGACTAGAAGGCGTTCTCTTCAAGTCAACCATTGACCTCCCTCCATATCATAATAATAATATCATCATTTGGCTCTATGCTTTTGTAATGTTTGGTTGATCATATATTCATATATTTGGCATACATCATATGTTGGGCACACATATAAGGGATTTGTTTCACTTATCTGTTTGTGCTTGTGTAATGTAACGATGTGACAAGTAGACCTTTTTTGGTATTTGAGTATTTTAGTTTTTTTTTTAAGTGCTGAATTATGACTTAATTTTTTTAACTAGTACTTGATTTGTCAATTTTGAGAAGTATCGAATACTTGTATAAATTCTTTTTACATAAGTCCATAGTATTGTTCTAGTTATGTAAATTTCAAAATATATATAATTATTGTGATCGATTGCTCATAATAACAGTTTATGATATGTTGATGCATGTGTGTTGTTTGTATTTATTTTATAGTGTAATATACTCTTAAAATACATTACCTGGTTATCACTATAGCTTGTAAATTCTTATTTACTATAGTGAACGCTCTATATAAGCAAGCTCTCTGTAAGCAACATTCTTTATATTTTATTTATTATATTCAGCTTAGTTAGTAAAATAAATAAGTAAAAATATTTTCCAGAAGGTAAGTATTTTTATACTCCTTTTTCCTAATAGGAGATTAGCAATTTTTCCCAATAAGATTTTTTTCTATCGAAATTGGTTCAAATGAGTTGCTTATATAGAGCGTTCACTGTGTTTGTAGTTGTACATAAACTAATTTTCGTTTATTTTTGCTTTGATTTTAATTATCTTCTTATCAATGTTCTTTTTCTTTCTATCCGTCACTAGCTTGAACTTCGTGAAACATCGTTATGGCCTAGCACACAGCCTTGGGAAAACTATGACGAGACCGTGTACACATATATACCTCCACCTCACACCCATAAAAAATCCCTAACACTACCCGTCACTAAACCAGAACGGTCTGTATGTAAAGTTGTCGAAGACATCATAACAAATAGTGATAAATATAAAGTATCAGACAAGATTAAAGCGAGAACACTTACTATTAATCTAGCGCCTCGTAAGAACGACTCCTATCTCTGGTCAGTTGTAACCAACAACAGTCTATCGACTATATCGGAAGACAGCAGTTCACCCCTATCGCTAAATAGCAGCGTGCCCTTGTCACCACTCAACACTCCCTTTTCACCAGAAATATATAGTCCAGTGTTTTTCGAATACCCAGACGTGGATAAACAATCAAATAATAATATATACTTGTCTTGTATAGATTTCATATTATGGGAGAGATTATCTTACCAGAATGTATTCCCTAATGTTTGCCTACTCAGACCGAAAAGCGAGTGTTCATCTAAATCTGGCAGTATGAAACGCTTAAAGCGTTTGCTGACACTCAAAAAGAAACCATCCGAGTCAGACACTAAAGGTGAAGTTGCAGTGTTATCGATGCCTACTCTGACTGGAAGTACAAATACGATTAACGACTTAGGAAAAGACGTCAAGAATATACCCTTGAACTCATCGCTTCTACTACTATCCCAGACCCGCTCCCTCCTGTTCCCTGAAGGTGCATGGTATTTTAACTATTTGGATAGTGTAAGTGTGGTGTTTAGTTTGCACATGCCTTTAACGCTTGCATCGCATTATATTTGCTACACATTTTCTGAACGCTAACGACTCTTGAAAACCCTTCAGCCGGTGGCTACAAGACATGTTTGCACGATTAAAAGACTTCAGAGACGGTTGGATAGTTGACGCACGAAGATTTTTGTTCGAATTCACCTATTTTGAAATTGAATTTAAGGGTTCATACTCAAGTAACTTTCATTAAATTCATATTTTTGTCATAATATAAAGTTTATTGCCATATATAGATTGTCAAACGTTCAAACCGGCATCAAATGATCTAAGTGGATCAAATACCTAGTGTTTAAATGAATACAATCGTCTCGAGTTCTTTAACCAGCTATATATGTTATACCAAACATGTTAATAATACTCATAAATCGAGCGATATAATCCCAGCTCAGCATTGCAGCAGTTCGCATGCGAATCTCTTACTTCAATTCCTGAATTACTACAATGGAAAGAGAAGGAAAATGCTATAATTATAATTCTGGTTTCTAGTTCGAAGTGAAAGAAATGAAGCGGCGCCAAGAAGCAGCAGAAGCGGCAGAGCGCGAGGAACGCGAACGGCAAGCGGCCGCCGCGGCCGCCGCCGCCGCTCAAGACACCGTGGACCGAGCTGCTGACGTCACCGACCAGCCGCAGGGTGAGTTTCTACTCCACAAGACACATGCCGCCCTAGTACATTCGATGACCGATTCTACCTTTTGGTTACGTTTAGTCGGTCTCTGATATTTACTTGTCTTGTTTAGTTAACAATGAGGGTTAAATGTAAAGCTTGAATCTATCTCTAAAAATTTTTTTTTTTTATTATTGATAATATACATATATTAATACACTCGTATGTTGAACTAAAACCTATTTGAAAATAGTTTTGACATTAATCTATTAGGTTTACACTGGTCATTAGAGTTAATGAATACACTGTGGTTTCAAATAATAATTTTTGTTTTAAACAGATTTATAGTACCATAAAATGTACCTATTTCTTGGTATTATGTTTGTGAACGACAGAACTGGTTACATTGTTGCAATTTAAATAACCTTGCTCCGTTTGTAGTTTTAAATTAGCAAAATAAAAGTGACAGTAGTATAAGTTAAATATATACACTGTCGGTTTCAATTATTTCAGTGAATAATTTAAATCTAAAATCCTGCCCAAATTGTTTACTAAAAAGACAAGCAAGAAATATAAAGACCGAATCTAACAAGTCTAATAGCCAATCATAGTGGATCATACCAGTTGACCACGCCCCTGTAATCCAAAATGATTGGTTATTTGTATGCTTTGTTGGATTTTATCGCTGCTATTAGGGCGATCGAGTTGTTTTTACGGTTAGAGCGTTGATCGACCTTCGCACTTTATAAAATTATACCTTTCGAGTTAGTCAAAAACACAGAGTAAAGTTTATTTGTCAAAATTAACACTACGAATCACGGATTGCAACGAAGCACGCATGTGTAATGTCTCTTGGCACTGTCGAACGAAACGGTATCTCTACAGTAAAAGACGTGTAAAACTTTCCACTAACTTTCACCGGTTAACAGGTGAATGCTGCTTGCATACTGCAATAACACTGATATATTTAATAGTTGATAGTTATAAGGATGTGAGATGGTGAAGCGACGGAATTTACGTGTCGAAGTGAACGAGCACATTCCGCACTGCGATAGAGCCGCACCGCGGCATCGCTTTGCAGCTTTTATTGTGAATTTATTACGTATACAAACTTTGAATCGCTTACTCGGTGTCGGCAAACGAAACTGCATATCAGATGGTGTATAGTTTGAGTAAACTACTACGTCTATGTCGTGTGTGGCACTCGTAAACGAGTTAAAGGGGTGCGTACAAGGGTGTAGCGACTACACCTATACCGGCGTGTCAATAGTATAGTGCGAAATTAGTGAGAAAGGAATGAACGCTTGCCCTTGTATAATACATCCGTTCTTACATCAGTCACCCCACAGTCGCTACACACGAATTTGACGCGCTATAATTTATTAAAAAATATATATTACTATAAATCATTGGGACTATTGAAGTATTTTCAAAATAAGTAAAAACAATATGATAGATATTCGAGTTGTCCATCTGAACTGCGTGGGTTTCGTTCGCTGACCGAGTTTTGCGTGTGAGACAAAATTACCGTTACTTACCGATGTGTTGTCCACACATGCACACGCGTAGTCGTAAGGAGAACGTCCACTAAAGCGGCTGAGAAGGCCCAAGAGCGACCGCATTCCCAGCCAGGTAAACAGAGCGCTTACTATAGACCTACCGATGTAAAAGTAACCCGGCAAACAGCATGAGCTTCTACGGTAGTTACTATATAATGGGTGTATTCGTAATTATGTCGGGTTACACTGCGCTCGTATTATATATATATCGCCACTAGGGGAATAGTCTTATCTGTTATTAATTTGTAGTTTGAAGGCTTTTTTCTGTAAACACGGGGTACGTCTCGTTTTAGTTAGGATTTATTTTGTAGGCTATCTATACGCGTAGTTGGGTGTAGAACACTTGTTTTCTTGTTGCACGACTTCTATGTTTTACTCACGGATTTCTGTCTCATTTAGGTGTTGGTCTATCTTCTGTCCTTTCATGAGCATCATCAAATACTTCGTATCACGCAAATATTAATGTTTTAACGCAACAATTCTACTAGTTTTGCGTTAAAACTCCGATTTATATATTTTCACAATCATCTTAAATTATTTATTTAATAGATTTAGTGTTAGATATATTTTTTCACGTTTTATCAAGATTTTTTTATTTGTACTATTTGTTATTATATTATAACCACATATATACTTGTGTCCATTAAAGCTAAACACGGTGATGGTTTGATACTCTGTCTCTGTCATGTATATCAGTATCACTACTTGTGTCTCATTCTTTATCTGTCCGACTCCGTATGCGCTAGCCTATGGTGTCAATTTCTATGCGCCACATAACTAAATTAACCTATATTTTAAATACACTGTCACTGCCGTACACTATCACGTCGAAACGTCGAAATAAAAATCAGGTTTGTACGTACTATTTGTTTGTAATCGCGTCGTGTTAAGTTCCGATAGTGTATTTAAAATATGTATTAACAAAGCGAAAATTTAAAATTAAATTAACATGCTAGAATTAAATTTAAAGCGTACTATAATGATCCAAAGTGTAATAAATTAATTTAGCTATGTGATATAGTTAGCAACAAAGTAACTGAATTGAATTTAATGGAAACGCAATATAATAAAGTTCATACAAGTTTGTTGCTGACCGTACCTCTGATTTGGCGCCATTATCTTTAAATGTGGGCAGTGCTTACGTTTTCTTGAAAAGCAATCTTCGACAAGGTAGGTTTGTCTAATTATAGCTTTTTCCTATCTATTGCTTAAAGTGCAATGCTTTATCGAACAGCTTATTTTTATATTTTATTATTTTAATTTGTGACGTCGACACTGAATTTTGATTGGGTAATTGTCATTTTATAGTTTTGTCAAAAAAAGTATAAAATTTTATAATCGGCCGAAAATTTGTGGCAAATCACGATTTGCCATAAATTTTGGCAAATAGTAATTTCGAAGAAGAAAACAAATAAATATTTTTATTACAATAAGGGTTATGTTTATTTTTAATTGACCTTTAGTATAAAACTATAAATGACATATATTTTTTTGATAATATATTTATATGGTGTATTATTAAATTTATTAATGTTATATAAGCATTTTTTTTTATATCTATAACATATTATTGGAGACATTTATTTTTCATTTAAAACACATTTAGTCGATACGTCATAAACGATGAGACTTATGTACTTTGCTTTCAAAGAACCTACTATATAATGTACAATTTATTTACAACAAAGTTCGAAAACAACTATACTGTATATTGTAAATGAGAAATATTAATGTCTCTGAATTTTTATATATTTAATTTATCATGCTTCCTTCCTAATCATTAATGTGTATTTCATTATGGGGGGATATTAAAACGATACAGTACTAATACGATTGGATAATAATACTTATACAATAAAAAACAACGCCCTGATTACATCGCGACATATTATGGTGTAAGAGTGTTAGCGCAAGGTGGAGTCCCGTTTAGGAAACCTCACTTCTAATGTATTCGAATGCATTGTCAATGGATTGCTGTAGCATGGATTCTTGTTTTGACATCTCTGGCTGTTTATTAGTATCGGTTAATATTATAGCATAATACGTCTTATTTTATTGTATCTGAATCCTAAGTTTGCCATAAAATGAATTAATTTTTCGATTCGAATGTTTATTTATAAAAATAAATTATAAACTTCGTCAAATGAAGTATTTATCAATTAATAGTTCATTTTATGTATGAGTCTCTAAGGGCTAATTACATTATTGAATATGTAAGAATGTACCTAAGACTATCTAGATTAATTTATATGGCTACTGATGCATTAATTATCATTAAAAAATATTGATGATGACGATGGTAGGTCCTGAACTATTTTAATATCTAAATAGTATAATAATAGTCTTGTGAGAGTACATTTCATATTCTTTTTGATATTTTCGTTTTGCTAACGAGTATAGAAAATGAGAAATAAATACTCATAAATAATAATAATAATTTCAGGTAAATAGTTCAAGTAATCATTAGTTTATTTTTTATAGTATAATTATTTTAAATAATATCGTTATAGTTTAAAAGTCGTTTATCTCACTAGAATTATTAATAAATTACAAAAATATAGAGTGTAGTGCATTAGTAGCGTTAGAGATCTACCTATGTTCCTGTGTATTTTATAGTTTAATAAACCATTAAAATTTCAGTTTAATGTGAATCAATCGTGACTAAGTTTAGAATATTAATAGACAGCCAAACAGCATGTAGTCGTAACCTAGCATGTATGCACGTAGTGTAGACGTAACTAGCACGTAGATGTACGCATGCAGAGGCGAGTAGAGCCCAGGCGGAGTCCCCCGCCCCCGCCCCTGCCCCCGCCGCCCCCGCCGCCCCCGCCCAGCCCCTGCAGACCTCCCCGCCCCGCCCCTCCACGTCGAAACAGACGCCGGCCAAGCCCGCCCGCCTCTCTAGTAAGTATCGCACGTAGTTAGTGGTATGTATCGCCGCTATGGTTCAACTTGATTAATTTGGTTGGAGATATGCCACCGACATGACTAACTTGAAATACTTATTTGAATCATAGCAAATTAGTGATGCGATCGAAACAAGAATAGGAATGTCAGTGACCTTGACCTTTGCAAGGAAAATATATTTTTTTAATAATATTTATTGGAATTGAAACTTTTTGTTAGAATACAAAAAGTAGGGTAATGTACAGTAGCAATCACATTAGTTGTCTATGTCGACGACCAAGACAATTTTTCCTATTTCATTAAATTTTAACCAAATCTCAGAATAAATTACTTTGATAATCAAGAAGCCACAAAACTTATTCTAATTTTGATCGCATTATATACTACTTGAATAATGATTGTGTATGGATTTAATGAACCTAAAATAATCCTGTACAATGAATGTCACTTGACTGTATGTACGGTGCATGGTATTTAATTAACATCTGTGTTTTTGTAATTCATGTTCAGTGTCAAAAGAAAAAAAGGAAGAAATCAGCATGATTTAGCTTTTGTATTTGCTGCGACGCCGACTTTGTTATTTTTATGTTGCTTTGAATTATTTGTTTTGTTTTTTTTTCTCTCCCCGCAATGTCCCGTCTCCTAAACTAATTTAATACCGTTCACTTCACCCCTGATTAACGAATATCCTTAATGCAATCTGTACACTCCCCTCTCCCGTCCCCTACTCCTGTTCCTATCTCGCGGTGACAGCGCCCGGCACGAGCTCGTCGCCCGCGACACCCTCTAGCTCCGGTAAGCTGAAGTCGCGGTCGCGTAGCAAGTCGCCCTTCAGGAGTTTCCGTTGGCGCACTGCGAAGAAGCTGATCGCTGGTTCACCCCACAGCGACGACGACGAAGGTAACCATGGTGGTAGACAGCGGTGCTATTGAATAATTTTGCTTTTGTTTTTAGAATGTCTAAGTCATTAAAATTCACATTAAATTTCTGGATATCATACGTGTGATGTAATTTCTTTATATGAAATGAAAACTGTAAATGAGAAGACAACGCCCTATTTGAATAAATCAGTTTGATTTCTTAATGATTATATTAAGATGTGCAATATTTGACTGATATATACTACCATTTAAAATATTAATTTATTTAACGTATTTTTTAATATAATAATTTAAATATGTTTACTGTATTGCCAAATCCTGAATCTTATTTTTAAATATTTCAAATTTGGAACATGGCTTACTTTTTTTTTAAAGAGGTAGATTTTAACTCATTAAAAAAAAATGTTAAAGAGTCTTGCGCTGTTGTCTACCATCGAGAAATGCTTTAAATGTGCTGTTGTGTTTGTTAGCGCATGTAATTATGTTTTTTTTTTATTTTGCGTGTTACTTGCAATAAAGTATACTTTCAGCGTGGCTTTCATTCATATTGTATGGCTGGCTGCATTCGGACGTGGTCCAAGCAGGTCGCATACCGTATCAAACCTATCACTTGTGATCAATAGACATAGTTAAATAGGTTTATGTATATTTTAGTTTATCTTTCATTTTTTTACTGTATGCTCTGTTATCATTATAGAGAGCTGGTAGTCATAGATGTACCATTCAGAAATCCGATAATACTATTTATACAATTGAAATTTTTTTCTTAAAGAATGTAGTTAAAATTTGATAATGATTTTTACATGTGATCATTAACCAACCAACAACGCATTACACCAATTGCTTGATCCTCAATAACACACTTGTGAGGAGTCAGGTAACGAATATTTAGGGAACCCAATACACGACACATGATAGAATGAGATCACGTGACAGCGCAATTAGTGTTAAATGATTTTCAAAATTCAACTATATTCCTCAGACTATATTGTTAATTTTCATAAATACTATTACTGGGTTTCAAATTGATATGCTCTCTAACGACTAACTCTGTATAATGATGGCAGTAAATTGAGAACGTGACGCAACAGTAGGTATTGTTGATAACAAGTGGGCTGTTGTGTACAGAGGGCGCTAGCCCCGCCAGCGAGGACGAGGGCGTGGAGGGAACGTTGGTGCGCAAACACGAGTGGGAGTCCGCCGCCAAACGCGCTTCTAACAGGTTCGTAATAGCAGACGCTTATTTCTGATTGGCTAATAAAGATATTTGACGTGTTTATGACAGATCTATGACTCTTGCAAAATATGAAATGGTATGTTCTTAAAAACGCAAGTCTTGTAAATTACTGGGCAAAATAATTTAATTACTTAATTGTTTTACAAGCTTGTTAAATATATTATAATTAAAATTAATGATGTCCTATTAAAAACTATAAGGTTATTTAAGGTACTTGAAAACATTCACCAGAGGGAGGGAGGTTTTGTACAAAAGTCGATTGCTTGGGTACCTCTGTCCCATTCGTGTTTCAACCGTGAAGCAGTTATGTTTGCATGGCTATGTTTCGGTTTGAAGGGTGGGATATGGCGTGAATTTACTGGGTACAGAGGAATAACACCTGAGTCCTAAGGAATGGCAACGCATGGGGGGATATCATGGGCGAAACAGTATACTCTGTTATGTCCATGGTACCGCTCATGTCTATGGGCGACGGTTACCACTTTCCATCAAGTGGGCCGTCAGCTTGTTTGCCATTTTAAGTTGTATAAAAAAAAAACTCAAATAATTTATTAAAAACCTAATTTATAACTGATTAAATATTTATTATTATTTATTTGTTTAGTTTTTATTTGTTTCGGGGTATATTGGATAGTACGCCTCTTAAGTTTCTCAACAAAATAAATCTAAAAACGTCAAAATAATTTCTACATAATTAGTTTACCTGTGTAAAACGTGGTTTGGCTTTTTGCGTTCAGATCATGGGACAAGGTGTACGTAGTGGCGAAGGACGGGCGCATGTCGTTCTACAAGGACCAGAAGGCGTACAAGGCGGCGCCGGACCAGCCGTGGCGCGGCGAAGTGCCGCTCGACCTCAACGGGGCCGTCGTCGAAGTCGCCGCCAACTACACCAAGAAAAAGCACGTGTTCCGGCTCCGGTCAGTTTTGATTGTAGCCGTATTTAAAGGGAGAGAGGGAGGCGTGCCCGCTACAGAATTGTATAGTGCCCCTCCTCCCCTAGGGTTGCGAACGCATTTATTTTATCAAAATCGGTTCAGTAGTTGAGAAATTAAAACAACTGGTTGTGCTACAGTTGAAATTGGTTTCTTTTTGTGGAATACAGTTTAAATACTCTTAAACCTAATTTTTTTTATAAACTTACGTAATTTTATAAACTTACTGTTTGTTGTATCCAATATTTTTTTTTGATGGGTGAAAATGGTATGGTAACCATGCCTGCGCTAACGGGATACGCTGGCGGAGCACCAGTGAAGGATGATAGATGAGAATGAAAACAGGCCAGTTAGGCCATCATGATGAATTCGTCAGGAATTAACCATAATAGTTTCCAGGGGAACCGCGATGAGGTCGACCTGGTTGGGTATATTGCTAGCAATGGGATTCTCAGTCTTCATTACTAACAATCTCTTTCCCCTCCATATCCAATAATTGATTGGAATGTTGTGTATACAATGTGTAGATTCTCCATCTCTACTGCTTAATTTAAATTTTAATATGAGGTACAAAGCACGTAATCCTACTCATAAATTGTTTACATTGCAAGTCTACAAAAATAATACTTCTTATTACAATCCTGTGGTTAGGATGTGTCGTCATTATAACGACGTACTGCTCGACAAATCCATCGACATATTCGGTACAAAATATTTGATATTTAGGAAGGACTTGTTTTCTATTTTGTAGAATACGATTGAAAATATGTTTTTTTTTATATATAGTTTTATCTTTTATATATTTATATAACATTTTAAGTATCTCTTTTTATATTATGTGTTTGCTTTCAATGAATTACTCAAGCTGTGCACGTAATGTAATTGGATTATAACCCGGCCGAATCACAAATGTGATTATGACTTAACTTTTTTAAGGTTGTGATCTGTTTTATGTGGCAATAAAGTAAATAAATAAATAAATCTGTGTCGGTGTCGGTGTCGGCGGCGCAGGCTGGGCAGCGGCGCGGAGTGGCTGCTGCAGGCGGGCGACGAGGCGGACATGGCGCGCTGGCTGGAGGCGCTGCGCGCGCGCGCCGCCGCGCCCGCCGCGCGCTCGCACACGCTGCCCGCGCCCGCCAACGCAGAGCCCAAGCGCCGCTCCTTCTTCACGCTCAAGAAGAAGTCAGTCCGCACGCTAACATTCCTATTCGCCCCGTAGGCGCCTGCACCGCGCTCCACGCATCACGCATCACGCATCACGCATCACGCATGACGCATGCCTCGCACGTGCGTGCACGTGTGTATTACACAGTCGCGTGCAGATACTGTGCAACGTAACCTGTAGCGTAACGCCGCTTGCAACAAACACACTGCCAGTACAAATTAATTTGACAGTTTCTCGATTAATGTTGATTGTTAGTTCTTATAAATGAACTATAAATTTTATGTATAATATATATATATAATGGTCAATTGAACGCATATTTCACAAACTGTAGCACTTGTAGAATGAAATTGTCAAGCTTTTTCTATTTCTAATATTTTATCTTTATTAATTATGCATGTTATAACCATCATAACAGTCGTCTACTCCTTATGTGTATATTTAAAACATCAATAAAAATGTTCTACGTTCCATTTGATCTCAATTTTAGTTCATTATTAAATTATTTACTAACTGTTAATGTTCTATGCTGTAAATGTTACCTATTATTGAAATGTGCGTATATTTATGTTAAAATAAAATACAATCAATAGAATGCTACGATTGCATGCGAACACATAAAGTTATATCAAATATGTTGCATGTTATGTTGCATGATATCTGTACACAACTTTTCATTGTATCTCCTAAACATTTTTGACGTTTGCCCATCATATTTATCAATAATAATCAGTCAAAATTTACAATTACAAACGAAGAAACTAATAACATTGTCACCAATGTTTGTAAATGACGAACGAGAAGGCGGTATAATGAGGTACTTTAAATGACTAGCCTGCTCTATATTTGGGAAATTTAAAATTAAACAATTTGTTTATTTTATTGTTAGATGTTCGTGTCGGTTGTTTTTTTTTTTGCCATTGGGAAGTGTTGCTATTTAATAAAATAGTTAATAATATTTAATAATATGTTAAGTATACTTGTAATTATTACAAACATTTGTATTTTCTAAGTAGTTATTTTAATTATTGATGGACGTCACTATTAAGCACTTTTAAATAGACATTTTAAAGTCTACATAATTGGAATAGGGTTTAATTTTGAATATTTCTTTGAATAAATGATATAATATGTTGTTACGTATAAATGTATTTTGGATATTAATTTAAAACACTGTAGGAAGATATTAAATCCGTTATTTGTACCATTCAGTTATCTAAGCATCTCGGGAAGTAAATTGAGCAGACGATATTTTGTTTAAAATATAAAAAAAAATTTGCTTCACTATTATATATTACACTATTATTAAAATTATTTCTTTGCATGTAGTTCCTATTTTTTTATTAACTAATAAGCATCGACTAAATGATTTATAAATTGATTTACTTAATTTTCAGCATGCAATAATGGAATGAAATATTTTTTTTTTAATTTTATTTGGAGACTTTATCTGTTCATATAAAAGTATTTTTGAATTCTTATATGAATTTGTAACAGTAAAGCATGATAATATAACATACGCATGCGTGTACAAAATGTGCATGACACTAAACAGTCTTACAAATTTCTAGTGATGCCTCTCTGAACTAGATAACCGCCAGCTGTATGCTAATTTACTTTGCATGTTTTATTAACCCCGAATATAGTTCGTGAATATAATGTCTAACCATAATAATAATGTGTCCAACAGTTAAATACCGACGAAGTGCTGGAGTGCCGTTCCGTCATGTTTCCTCACCAGGCGTCAGCGACACGACAAGCAGCATCAGCGCTACGTACCAGCATGCAGTCAGCAGTCCGCACTCGTGACTACAAACTACAAGAGCGCACCGACGACGCCGCATATTTCTCACGATGCTTGCTTCCGTAAGCTTTGCTACTGAAGAAATTATGTCGACGCGGCAATAACGATTAAGGAACCATAAATGTTATTATTTTGTTGCGTACAAATACGTTATTTAAGACTGTATGGTAATGAGTGTATGAAACGTTCGCATCCCTGTATTTATTGTCGGCACACGCAAATAGACACCACTGACTCGACCGCGTATGCGAGATCCCACCCCCCCGAATGTGTAATTATTGTTATATTAAACGATTATTATAAAATGAGAATACATATTTAAAAATTCTAAATGCGACGCTATTTATGAATAGATGATTTTAGTGTTTAAATTCAGATTGAAATATATAAATATATATATATTTTAATGATTTATATATTATATATATAAAAATGGAGCTAGTGTAATGTAAATTCAGTTGAACTAGAAATGTATGTCGTTCAATTCGCTAATGAAATAATTCAAACTTTAAATTTTTATTAGATAATAATTGACCAAGCAAATATCAGTCTATAGACGGAGTTAATAAACTGCATTTGATATGTAACTTAGCTAGGACCGAGCGTAACCGTATGTGCATCCAATCGGTGACAACCCTATCCAGTGATGATACCTTTGTATTGACCGCGCCGCTCCACAGCGGCGGAGCGTGACGCGATATGTTCACACGATTGTAACGTAAGCTACGTAACTCTAATAGAATTAATTTTCCATTATAAAGTGTCTTCTTTCCAATATTTCGACGTTGCTGTTTATAATATGCCGCATTTAAATTCAGTAATTCCTTCTTAGACTTCGTAACTATAATGGACAGGTAGCGATAGATTGTAGACGGTGCATTTATCGCACCCCGGGCAGCAACGGCGGAGTACTATACCTATATGATAGTAATACGAGATGTAAGTATGCTTGTTCGCCTCGTAAGCGCTTCTACAAAGTAACGTGTCTTTATTATGACGTATTAATTTAGTTATTACGTTTACTGCCAATATTTTAACAAAACGTTAATTTATACGATTCATGTTTAAAGTTCACCTTAATTATAATTAGGATGACACATTTTTAGTTCTGTTTGTGACTCGTCTTATGATTATTGTATTGTATTGTATTGTATAGTTGTGTTGCGCGGTGCGTCCGCGGCGCGGTGACGCGCCACTGTGCTGTGTATCGATCAGCTCGCCATCGCCTTACTGCCACCCTGTTTCACACTATTGCATGTAAACCTATATTTAAATATTTTATTTTAAAATTTTACTTTTTTGAGGAAAATATAATAAAGATGTTTTCAAATAAACTTGGATTTTTTTTCTCTCTAATCATTATTTCCACCCAGGGCCGTAGCTAGACCCAAGTTTAAAGTACTTTTTGGTGGGGCAGAAATCATAATTAAGTAACTTCAAAAAGCGAATCTGTTTAATTTTCTTCGGGCCTTTCATTTTATGGTAGGGCATTGGATCTTAAGGTCGGGCATTGCCAGTGTAATCAATGATTCCCACCCCACCCCCCAGCTGCGGCCATATTTCTGCCATTCGTCTTTTCATCTTAAACCAAAGTATTTGAAAATGAAGGGATGACGGACAGAAATTGGTAAGCGATGGAGTTCATGTAATGTTTTAACGTAGAAAAATAACACAGAATAATTGTCTAGTTATATCTGATCATTTCTCACTTCTTTCCATCTTATATGAACTATATTTTTAACATAGTTTAAAAAGGATGTTCTCTTTGTTTCTCATAACTCCGTCAGTTGTAAACCGATTTGGGAAATTCATTTTTTTTTATCTGAAATTATATACTTATAGGTTGACCCCATAGATTTTTTTTATCAATATCGGTTCAGGAGTTCTTAAATCTGAATAGCTGGCTTTGTCACAATTAAAGTAAATTCTTTTGTGGAACACAATCTTAATTATAAGGTCTTCAGAACCTCGATTATAGATTTTTGATCTGTCGTATTTACCTAATTAGATTGGCTATATAAAAAGTAATGCCAAGATTCTTTGCTAAATAAATTAGGCAAAGTACGAGTATATAAAAGAAGAGAACAGACAATACCTAGATACATTTTGTATTGGGTGTAGATACAAGATACATTTCCTATTGCCGCATAACTGAGCCATCAAATGTAAGATAAATATTGATAACATCTATAAAGCCGATATCTTCGTTTCGAGATAAGATCCCTTCCCATAAAGAGACCTAGTTATAAGTTTGGATCCAAGCATCATCCATTATAAATGTTCAATATGTTACGAACAATAGTGTTTGTTTTGTTACCACACGTGTTGTGCGCGACACGGACCTGTAATGGGGACAGTTGTACCAGAATCATCGGAGGTGAAATATCTGAACAGAACTCGAGGCCTTTTCAGGTAAAACTTGAATCATATGAACTAATAGTCGATCATCTAAGAAATTCTGAGTAAAGAATAAATAATTATTACGTTTTAGAGTTTATATTTATAATTATTGTATTTATTTGGAACTAAAATATAATTAGGTATAATATTTTTTTTCCTTGCGAAACATCTGTCCCATTCGTGTTTCAACCGTAAAGTAGTTGTGTTTGCATGACAATGTTTCGATTTGAAGGGCGGGATATGGCGTGAATTTACTGGGTACAGAGGAATAACACCTGAGTCCTCAGGAATGGCAACGCATGGGGGGTATCATGAGTAAAACAGTATACTCTATTATGTCCATGGTACTGCTCATGTCTATAGGCGACGGTTACCACTTTCCATCAGGTGGGCCCTCAGCTTGTTTGCCATTCTAAGTTGTATAAAAAAAAATCAGTGGTTATTAAAATAATTGTATTTAAATAACCAATTAGATTATCTGAATTAGGGCGAGGGATGGGCAGCAGCGTCCCTTTTAAAACATCTCTAAAGCCTAACTGCGGTTGTCAATCCGCTTGCCAAGCGTGGCAACTTTTGGCAAAACCCGCTAAGGGAGAGGCTTGTGATCAGCAGTGAACATTTAAAGGTTAATATGATGAACCAATTTAGGTTAAATAGGAGTGAGTTTTTGAAGTTCCTATAGCTGTCTAAATCAAATTTGATAGTTAATTTAAAACAAGATCTGTGGTCTACTCTTAAATCTAATATTGATATTATTCCATTTTCCAATGAAAATTTTGTAATTTTTTTTTTATGTATAGCATGATACTACAATTAGAATTGAGATTGATTTACAATAGTTATTTATACTAATATGTATCTATCAGAATACGGAATCATTACGTCGCTGGTATTGCAATTCGAGAGTATAAAACTTCAATTACAATATCGATCTATTGGAATTTATTTTAAAGGTAAATCTATGGTCAGTTCTGTACTCAAGCTCTGTATGAAACGTTGAACATATACTTTGCTAATTTGATTATAGTTTACTAAATAAGGTTTCGAAAACCTGTTTAAAGAAAATGTGATCATACATAATAGGGAATAGATTAGATACATCAAGACTTGCCTGCTAATCTAATATTTTTGTCAAATAAGATTTTATTTATAAAAAAAATAATAACTTTAGTTGTAAAAAAAAATTGGAACCAATATACGAGCATTGATTGCAAACCAATTGTTATAATAAGCCTAGAATTGGCTAAGAAATAACAGGACATAAAAAAAGCAGGCACAGAAAAGTTATTCTTTAAATACCAGAACAATTGATTGAGTCGGGAGCCAAAAGTTAATTGACAAATCTATTTTCATTTAATAGGATATACATTAATATTTCAAAAGGACTGATCACCAGGTAGCTCTGTATTCGCGAGTGGGCACAACTGGAGAACTGGGTTTCTGTGGGGGCTCTTTAATACATCAAGAATGGATAATAACGGCCGCGCATTGCTGTTTCCACAATGAAGTGCTTGTCGATCATGTGCAGGTAATATGTTTTATTAAAATGGTTATAAAATTATTTCTGTCGTATAGGAACTTTCAGAAAGATAGTTTCTCTTCTTAAAAATGTGAAAACAAATCGCCAATTTCTATGGTGTTGCAAATGTCCATTACTTGAGTTAATCATCTATTTATCAGATGAGCTTCATGATTTAAACAAAAAATACATCATTTCAATAAAAAAAACAGAGTTTTTAGGTAGGTATAGGCACGATCAATATGATGTTAATATACATGAAACCTTGTCCGTATTAGACCGTTATGTTTATTTATGCGGACGGAGGGTAGTTCTCATTGCTAGCAATATATCCTGTCAGATCATTCTCTGCTGAGGCCTCGCCGTTGTATATCGTTAGCATAGGCGGGAGCAACGTTCAATCTTTATCCATTAAAAAAAAACCATACAATTTGGTACATGGATCTGTAATTTCACAAAAACAAATAGAAAAAGATATTAAGGCCCAATAAGCATATGGTTTATAATAAATTAAAGCCACTTTTAAGTTATAACGGTATGAAAACTTCGTGGAGACTTCAAAAGTTCTCGATTTATCTGTATTTTTCGTGTGTATATTACAAAATAGCTTCGTAATTTCTAAATCGATTTTGATTATTGTTTTTGCAATTAATGCTGTTTATCCATTATTGATCTTGTAATTCTATTACGACTGTAGAGTTTGCTTTTTCAATAAAGTGAGGTAGGGGCCGCCCTAGACAGACATGCCGATCAAGTCGGTGTCATTTAGTAAAAAAGGGTCAAATTAAAAGTACCTGCAACCGGCGAGCATGTATGAAAAGATTTACCAAGTACGTTTAAAATTATTTATTACAGGCAATTCTTGGAGCACATTCCTTATACGATCGCTATGAGAATGGACGCAGAATTGTCAATGTTGTTGATATTGTGGTGCATCCAGACTGGGACGCTGACACTTTCACCAATGATGTGGCGCTCTTGAAACTCGCCAATGTCATACAACTAACAGGTTGGCGTTTTCTTTTATCTAATTGATTGTGGAATTTTCTAATCTCTTTTTAGGTAGATTACATATATATTTCTCACACCTGCCTCCTATTAATGTAGGCAGAAACAATAGAGTGCCAAACGCTTCGATTCAAACAGACCCTTTTCGCTTCCTCCACATTCATCAATATTTTTAAATGTAATGAAAAAAAAAAAATCGTGTAGATAATAACTTGCATTGTGAATTTTCATTGCTTGGTTTTTTCATGCAAATTTTTATTCAAGTACATATTTTTACGTGACTAAGAGCGTGCAAAGAGACACCTATTATTAAATAGGCGATGTTGAAATAAATAAATGCGCTGCAATAATTGCTTACCGAACAGTATTGCGAGTCCAAAATGTTACCTGTAAACTCATTGCATCGGTCGTCATTGAGACAGGAACTGCTCTCCATGTGAGCTTCTTGATTAACTTGTATGTTAACCGGTGTAAACTTCAGTGGCGGATTAAGTCAGTCAAAGGCCCGAAGCAAAGTTGAATCCTTATTCAGCTGTTTATCAACTTCTTAAAACTTGGGGCCTCCCCAAATTTAAGATGTTGTTGTAATTTTATAAGTTTTTTATTCAGTTCCCGTTTGTATGTATAAGTATTTATGTTTATTTAGTTAAAATCTTTCAAGTGAGAGTTAAATTAAACTTAAATAAACCGCAGCACCAGAGGCCTGGCGCGGTCTTTCTCGGTTTACTTCGCTACTGTTAAGCTTGCGTTTCTCGTGATCTTGTGGTACATAACAACATAATAAAATTACCTGTTATATAGATAATAGGTACCTTACCTAGATATAAATTCGTGGGAAAATACGTGTTTGTTTACACAATCGATAATGTTGGTTTACTAAGTAGGTAAAACCACAGATAATATAATACTGTACTAGAATAAAACTAATCGGGATTATCGAGCCATTTTTAGACTTAGGACGTCTAGATGTAGTCAGCCTACATTAAAGTTTGATAGATATTGTTTTAATCCGTGTTATTCTAATCCATAATGGGTTATTACCTAGATTAGGGTATTAACCAAAAAGGAATAAAGTATCTAAGGCACTGATAGCGATTTCTTTAAAATTAAATTGTTGTCTCATAAATATGTCTAGTGCGTAATTTCCTCCTAACAATATTATTATTGCCATGTAGTCCCGGCATAGAATGGGTCACCATTCCATTTCCCATGAATATCGTAAGAGGCGACTAAGGAAACTTAATGGACGAGGGATGGGCAGCAGTGTCTCTCTTAGAATATCACCAAAGCCTAACTGTGGTTGTAATGTCGCTTGCCGAGCGTGGCAACTACTGGCAAACCCCCTTGAGGGAGGCCTATTTTTAGCAGCGGGCTCTAAACGCTCTAGACGCTCTAGATTTATGATGTAAAATGCCATATGGAATGGCAACTTTGTCTACGTTGTTGATATACGAGTACTCGTACGCTGGCGGGGTCTCAGTGAGACATGATATGTGAAGATGAAGTCAAGTACATTGTCTCATCGTGATGAATTTACCAGGAATTCACAACAATGGTTTCTAGGAACCGCATTGGATTGATAGCGCATACTGTTAGTAAGAAGGTTATTATTTCCTGTTACTAACAATTATCTGTTATTAGGACATGAAAGAATAAGGAATGGATTATGTTCAGTATATGAATGACATAGGATAATTTATTTAAAATTACGATGATGTATTTTCAGATACCATAGGCATAGTGCGTTTACCGTATCTAAGTACGGCGTCGCACAATTTTGCCGGCTCGGGAGCCACCGTTTCTGGTTGGGGCATAGTTGCTGAAGGTATACGCATTTAGACATTAACAGAAACGATTCCCATAAAATTGTACAAAATATGTAATATGTAGTAACAAAATGATGTAGACAGTTCGTGTGTGTGTTACACACATACATATATGACATTAAAAAAAATACAATACATCACTGTGATGAGGATACACAAAGGTGTATTGTGTTATTTTAATATCATTAAATAAATAATAGTTATAATTGAAGTTTACTAATAAGAAAAATAATATAAGAATCTAAGAAAATTTGATAAGAATTTATTAAAACGTCTACTATGCAAGCTCCAAAGCTTGTTTCTTTTTTTTTAAGTTATTTGCCACTCCATTTACAACACAGTAAATTAATTTGCAGTGATACATAAATTTGTATTATTACACTCCTATTTAAATTGAATATTTGCCAGTATCTCTATGAGAATTTCTATGAGAAATTCCCAAAGAGGGATGACGTCAAGCAGGCACCTGGTCGTAAAACTATAAGCCAAATCTTTTTGTAATATGAATAAAAAATATATTAGCAAATATAATACCGACCCCAAATAATAATTGGGATTAGGAAGATGATGATATTTCTATGAGAAATGTTTTACTCTCTTTGTCTTAGGAGAATGGTGAAGAAGTGATAATATTGTGAATATTCTTACTCTTTCACTAAATTAAAATTTGATTTTATATTTTTGTAATTATAGATAGATAGATAGATGCTCTTTATTGTTTCCTCCAAAAGATTACAATAGTAAACTTATTATAAATATAAATAATTACAAGAAATAATCACATTGTGTCATAATAACATAATTTTTTTACACAGGTGTGACATTCGTTTCACCGACTCTTCGAGAAAAACTGATGACGGTGATAACGGATACTCTGTGCAATTCGTCTTACAGCAACCTGCTGCCGGCTACCACTGTGTGTGGTATTACGTCGGATTCGGGTACTTGCAAGGTATAGCTCTTTATTTACATATTTATATGCTTTTTTACATTCATTTATAGAATAGTACATTTATTAGGTTATAGCAAAAATGTATACAAGCGGAATTATCTCTAAAAAAGATTTGTTCCAGTCAACCTTGAGGACTCGAATGGAGAAAGTGTCTATATAGTTTGTATATAAAGCGTAACATATATGGTGCAAAAATAATATGAGAAATAATAAGTTCTTTTTTAGGATTCCATACCAAAATGGTATAAAAGAACCGTAATGGCGCGATTTTGTCCGTCCCTTCGTCCGTCTGTTACAACGCTATATTACAACAACTTCTAATGTTATCTATTTGAAATTTACAATAATTTTACATTTTTAACGGCTGATAAGATGATGACGATGGCATAGCGTTAGTATTTTATATTACAGAGATTTAGTAGCATTATCGAATGTCAGAAAAACTAAGATTTTTTTATACAACTTAGAATGGCAAACAAGCTGACGGCCCACCTGATGGAAAGTAGTAACCGTCGCCTATAGACATGAGCGGTACCATGGACATAACAGAGTATACTGTTTCGCCCATGATACCTCCCATGCGTTGCCATTCCTGAGGACACAGATGTTATTCCTCTGTACCCTGTAAATTCACGCCATATCCCACCCTTCAAACCGAAACACAGCCATGCAAACACAACTGCTTCACGGTAGAAACACGAATGGGACAGAGGTACCCAAGCAATCGACTTTTGTACAAAGTCTCCCTCCGGTACACGAATGGGACACAGGAGGAGGACAGAGAATAATAAATTGATAGTAATATAGGTAAAAAAACTAATAAAAAAAATTAACGAATATGATAATTGCCGTTAGTTTGCTTATTTTTAACAATTATTAGAACTAGTAATAGGTACATAGATGAATATGATTATTAATACAGAATTTGTCTATATTATTTTTAGTTTTGAATTAATAGTATTTTTTACATTTTTATGAAAATTTATAGGGCGATAACGGTGGTCCAATGACGATTCCTTACAGCATGCACCAGGATGAGGAACCAGAAACGATATTGGTGAGTGTGAACAATGGATTGTGCTTATTTGTGTACTTTTTGCTTTTGTAATATGAATTAAAAAAGACGGAGGTTTAATTCGACGGGATGCCCTCATCAATTAGTATGAGTCAATAATGCGAAAGGTTTTATTTTCAAAATGACGAAGCAACCTAATTTATTTAAAATATAAATAATTATTTTTTACAAACTACTTAATATTTTTTAATATAGTATTCTTTATAAACTTAAGTAAGAATTACGAGTATATAAAGTAAAATTATAATTATTGTAAAATATTGAAATAGATAAAATTGGTTTATTATATAAGGCATTGTACAACAGAAAGTATTACTATTAGGCAGTTAAATTTTTTTTTATACAACTTAGAATGGCAAACAAGCTGACGGCCCACCTGACGGAAAGTGTTAACCGTCGCCTATAGACATGAGCAGTACTATGGACATAACATAGTATACTGTTTTGCCCATGATACCCCCCCCCCCCATGCGTTGCCATTCCTGAAGACTCAGGTGTTATTGCTCTGTACCCTGTAAATTCACGCCATATTCCACCCTTCAAACCGAAACACAGCCATGCAAACACAACTGCTTCACGGTAGAAACACGAATGGGACAGAGGTATCCAAGCAATCGACTTTTGTACAAAATCTCCTTCTGGTAAAAATAATAAAAGATATAATACATAGATCTGACAAACAAAAAAAAAATATTAGAAACTTTACAATTAGCTTTTTGAGTAATGGTTTTATTCGCTTGAAGACTATTTTAATGTAAAATTTTAAGAACAAGTTCCAAATGATATATTTACACGCCACACGGTTGAATGTAGAGAGTCTTTTCTTTAACATTAAATACTTTTAATGTAATAAATAACCTATATTCAAGCAAATAAAGTTATCATTTGTTTAAAAAAAATTCGATCCTTTATAATAATAAAGTTTTTCTTTATGAAAAGTAAATTTACGAAAAATTAACAATTACTTATTAATTCCCATAAGTCATATCTCTTCAAATATCCCGAGTACCAAGGTGTTCATACAATACACAGTACTTTATCTGAGTCTTTATCACTTGAGTCAGAGATATACACAAACAAAGGAGTAAACTCATTAGCCATCATAGCAGTCGGTTAAAAGGACGTTAATTAAGACCCAAGATTAAGACGTAACTGATAATGATATCTGGTACATCGTATCATCATGATTGTATCGTGTAGTAATAATTATATTTATTAATTATGATAATATATATTTATTGTTTTTATATTTACTTTTAAGAAGAATAAGTAACGTGACATTTGGATAACGGAAATCCGTTTAGTGTTTTTTTTTTTATGTAAAATAACAACGTAAGGTTTTTTTATACATTTTAAAATTTGAATATGGAAGTCGTTTGTAGTATTTTATACTGAAATAATGAAACGCTGAATGCTTCAAATAGAAATATGAATTATGACATAGTAGTGAAATGCTTGGTTTTCAAAACTCTATATTGTTTCCCACGAAGAAAGACACAATTACATAAAATAATGCATTGATGTGCGATGTTTTGTTTTAATATTAATTAAGATAGATAATTATGTCTGTTCATATGATTATATCTAAAAACGGATATAATAAAGATAAAAGTCGTTATAGGTTCAATGTTAATTTATTTGTATATAGGTATTATTTCTGCTATAATATCTACGCTTCTGTTTAAATTTAAATATATTGATATTAAATACGGGTGGATTTAGATTCTTAACAAGAAAGAGCATATAAGAGCTTCTATTTAAATGACCGAAAATGGAATGGCAGCCTCGCATGGGCTATAGGTATACATCGATGGGATACTAGTGGATAAGGATATAATTAGGTGAGTTGGTCCGTCTTGACGAATTCATCAGGATTTATCCACGATGGTTTCCATGCTAATCGCGTGAAAATCGATCTGACGTGGTATATTGCTAGCAATAGCAACGTGGACTCCATTACTAATAACACCCCCCAAACAAGAACTAGAATTTAGATGTTGCTAGCCAGGTCTAGACTAACTTCGTAAGAATATTGTACAGTATTGTTCCGAAGTGCATTTGAAGTAGAGGGAAAACAAGTATAAGGTATATATTTTTATTAGTTTCGATTTCAATACAGATACTTTAGGTTTATATGTGACGACCTTTAATTTATTATTATTTTATTAATCATATTATCCTTCATCTATATTCGAAGCACAAATAATTGTGAGCATAGATAAAGGATAGTATCTGTGGCATTCTCCTTCTATGATTTAAAGTTTGATTATGACATATTTTTTATGTTTATTTTGTAGCTGAAAAGGCAAAGGGCCTTCACCTGTGCAGCCTATGACGACGATAACATATTGTTATGATTTGTCGACAGATCGGAGTTGCATCGTTTGTGAGTAACACCGGGTGCAATACGTACCAGCCGTCGGTATTCACCAGAGTGCAGTATTACCTGCATTGGATTAGCAACGTAACGGGCATACAACTTGATTGAAATATTTTATTACTAGATTTACCTGCGATTTCATCCATGGCCTGGATGTATTGATTAAGCGGGATAAACAGTAGCCTATCGACGGTTAACTACCAGTACATTCTATCTGACATTTATAAAATAGTTGTATAGTTTTTTTATAACACGCCTAGATATCTTCTTTTCTATCTTATATAGAAAAATGATTTTTACATTAATATATTGAGAATTTATATTAATACTGACTACATTATATTTTGATTTTATTGTATTTGTAAAAAAATTAGGATGTTTTCGTGTTAAATGTTGACTGTAGGAGATATAACATATATGGAGAAGCAGAGTATCAAAAACGGGTCAACTTTTTGTCAAATTAGCTAACTGTTTTTTTTAATCAGTATTCTATATACTTACGCACATAATGTATCTTGACGTATCTACATTTGATTATTTAATAAATAAAATGAGTTTTTATGCATTAAAAATATGCAAAAATTATAAAACAAAAAAATATTGAAATTATAAAGGAAACACTAATAACTATTTATCTTTTTGTATGAAAAAGTTGACCCGTTTATCTCGAAGTATTTATATGGAGATACTCTATCTAAGTAATCTAAGGTCAAACTTGTAGACGGTTGGTTGAGCTGTTAAGGAGTTAAGAGGTAACAAATAACTAAAAATAGACTATTAATTACATTTATAATTTTAATAAAGATTAAGAAACTGATTTATTTTATATAATATTATTTAATATCATAAATATATTTAAGTAATACTGATATAAATATATTATTATTTGATTTTATAATTTATATTATTCTTTTTTTATTGTTTATATGATCGTTTGTTCTATAATCAGATAACTTTTATACCTGTACATGTTTGTATCAAATATAGATTGTACGTAGTGACGTTAAGATTGATTTTAGAATTCCGTAAGCAAACAGAGAAAATAAAATCTTTATGGTTAGTTGTTTTGAATCTTTATAATGTCATACCAGAATAACAGAGGGAGACTTTGTACAAAAGTGGTTTGCTTGGGCACCTCTGTCCCGTCCGTGTTTCTGCCGTAAAACAGCTGTTTGCATGGTTGTGTTTCAGTTTGGAAGGATATAGAAGAATAACACCTGAGTTCACAGGAATGGGAACACATGGGAGGTATCATGGGCTCTTACTTATGTTACTCTTACATGGCTTATGGATTAATAGTTGTGTTTGCACGGCTGTGCTTCGGTTTGAAGGGTGGGATATGGTGTGAATTTACTGGGTACAGAGGTACTAGGTAACACCTGAGTCCTCAGGAATGACAACGCATTGGGGTTATCATGGGCGAAACAGTATACTCTGTTATGTTCATGGTACTGCTCATGTCTATAGGCGACGGCTACCACTTTTCATCAGGTGGGCCGTCATCTTGTTTGCCATTCTAAGTTGCAAAAAAAAGTCATTGTTTGTCTATAAGTCATAAGTGGAATGATGATTGCAAAAATTAACAAATAATAAATAAAACGTTAGGATATAAAACACGACAATTTTAATGTTGATAAATTAACGGATATACATATTTTGTAAATTACACATATTTGTATCATAGATTAACACAGTAATATAAATTAAAAAAAAAAAATATTTGTGTCAATATTAATATTAAACGAGTATATAAAACAAAAACAAAAAAAAAAACAAAAAAGAAAACAACCGAAACAAAGAATAAAATATAAAAAACATTCATAGTTTCAAATGAAGCCCAAAAAAGGTAACATATACATAGATAAGAGCAAATGTGTAATCGTGTGCGTGTGTGTGTCGCATATTCTGTGAAATTAGGATCGCGCTCAGCATTCAGTGTTTGAAATTCCAGACAAATTATCTTTTTGAAGACTAGGCAGCATGGTCTCCGACCTTAGCCTGTTCCAAACGGAACAAACGTACTAAAAAAAAAAAATCAGTGTTTGAAGCGGTACAATACAGCGCCGTTTTTAGCGCAAACCATGGCATCTCAAGGAAAGCGTTTTATTCCCAATTGATAAGTAGTGTATTGATATTTTGCGCAACTACGAGTACACTATAATTTTAACAAATATTGATTTCTTTTTGTACACTAACCAATTCTACTTTTTTTTTTATAATTCTGTTTCAATAATGACAATGATAAAATCCAGTTTTGTGGAATATAACATGTTTAAAGATATCGCAAGTGACGTATCGCAAGTTCTAACATCTAATCTATTTATCTTGAGACCGGAAATGTTTTGAAATTAGGTATTATTAAAATATGCTTGAGTAATTTTTTTGTTATTTCGACTCAGGATATTTAGTTTGTTGTATTCCGATCTTTCAAAATCGTACTGCCCTTAATTTATGTATCTGATATAAAACGTTCAACATTATCCCCTCTATTTAATAATTTTTATTTAAATTGTTTATACTTAGATTATATAGATAGCGCATCCAGTCTCAAAAGCGGGTCAACTTTTTGTCAAATTAGCTGACTCATTTTTTTATCAGTGTTCTGTTACGCAAATAATGTATCTTGACATATTTATGTTAAATTATTAAATAAATGAGTTTTTATGCATTAAAAAAATGCAAAAATTATAAAATAAAATAAAAGTTATAAAAGAAACACACATAACTATTTATCACGCAAAATTGTATGAAAATGTTGACCCCTGCAATGCATTTAAGGCCGTCACCCCATTTATTGGGAGGTCGTCTTACACTGCATTTACCCGATCATATTTATTTAATAGTTATTCATTCATCAGATATTTATTCAACATTTATTTGTTATTCATTCATCACCTATTCATCGTTCAATAATTAACCATCATTCATTCATCATTTACACATACATTGGAATACTTCTATTTTAATGTACACATGTATCATCATCATCTTCCTACTCTTATCCCAATTATTATTTGGGGTCGGCGTAATATGATTTTATCCATATTACTAAAGGAGTTGGCTTAGTTTTATGACCGGCCGCCTGCCTTACGTTAACCCTCATTGGGTACGTACGTACGGGTAAGTACACAAGTATATATGATACAAAATATTTTTAGAAAATAATATATTGATATGATTCAAATTTAATGTATTAAAAGTATAAATGTACTATGCTATAATAAATGTCTTCAGATGTTTATTTCATTTGTTGGATTTACTTCTCTTATATAAACGATTCGTAAATTAAAAACACACACGCACACATATACGCACACTATTCTACACATGCGACAATGTAAATTAACTTATGACCGAAGAAAGATACAAATTAAAATTAGATAAAGTATTTATAAATAATCATTTGTTATGGGATTATTGTAATCAATTTAAACGGGTTGTTCATATTTTATCAGTTAATTAATGAAATCGTGTTAACGTAACGTCCTTTATCAAAATGACAACTAGTTTGATAATATTTGATATATATAAAAATCAAATCTAGTAATTTTGAATTTATCAACTACATTTATCAAAGAATAGTACGTTAGAGATAGTGCGTTTTTATAATAAGCATAGTCAGACCGGATGTCAGTTTTAAAATGTAAAGTCTTCAATTAAGGTTATTTTTTTTTTAATTTTTATATGAGGCGAATATGGGAGTATATTTTCAAATCATAAATTATATATATATATATATATATATATATATATATATTCTTTATTGCACTAAAACATACAGTAACAACAATAAGTTAATAACAATGTTAGCAAAGGCGAGCTTATATCTAAAAGAGATTTCTTCCAGTCAACCTAACGCAGTGGCATAGGAAGTAGTGAGTGGGCAGTAGTAGTGCAAGACAGGAATTTAAATAAATATTTACATAAATTATAAATCATTATATATATATATATATATATATATATATATATATATATATATATATATATATATATATATACATATACTTAAGTAAACTATAACTTATTGCGGTAAGTTGGTTTGTATAAAAAAATTCCTAAAACATATTTTTTTTATGGAAGATAATGATGCCAGTGGCGAATTCACTAGTAACTAACCACGACAATTTCCATGGGGGATTGCTGAAGGTCTGCATAACAAAGCAATGGAATTAAAATCCCCACTACTAATAATCTCTTCCCTTTTTACAGTCAAGTTGAATGCCTCCTGGATAGATTTTCACAATAGTTTTTGCAAAGGTAATGTTTACTCTCGTGTTAATCCTTGTTAATTTTGTGACAATTAAAGTACTGTTTTTCGTTCTCCAAAAAATTTCTTGTGCATAAATTCAGATAAAATACGTAATTCTGCGTTCTAAATACAGATATTAATTTAGAGGTGTGTTAATAAAAGCAATAGAAGCCAAAACAATAATTTTTAGAAGTAGTATTTCTGTCTGTTTGTATATTTGTCCTGGCATCGCGAAAAACTACTGCTCAAATTGGATGCGGTTTTTATAGTTGTATTCCTGAAAGTAGACCTAAAGAAAAAAAAAACTTCCGGAAGTTAGAATTTGAAATTTAATGATTCATTTTAATAAGCCGACTAGAAATGAACACATTGGTTTTCCTAATTTCGAAATCCATGCGTGCAAAGTAGCGGGCGAAAAACTAGTTTGGAAATAAATACGCATATTATACAGTCATTACCACTTTCCACCAGGTAGACCTTTTTGTGTATATTATATTTTACCAGAGGGAGACTTTGTACAAAAGTCGATTGCTTGGGTACCTCTGTCCCATTCGTGTTTCTACCGTGAAGCAGTTGTGTTTGCATGGCTGTGTTTCGGTTTGAAGGGTGGGATATGGCGTGAATTTACAGGGTACAGAGGAATAACACCTGAGTCCTCAGGAATGGCAACACATGGGGGGTATCATGGGCGAACAGTATACTCTGTTACGTCCATGGTACTGCTCATGTCTATAGGCGACGGTTACCACTTTCCATTAAGTGGGCCGTCGGTTTGTTTGCCATTCTAAGTTGTATAAAAAAAAGAATAATAAAAAAAGAGTTATGATTAAGTGGGACGCTGTTGCCCATCATTCAATCATTAAATACCTTTAATTGTCTATTAACGACGTTCACGGAAAGGAAGGGGTGTCCCATTGTATGCCGGGATCACACGGCAAAAAATAATATTATATAGTCAATAAAATTCTATTTATTTTTACTTCCGGTGTAATTAGTACAACCTTATTTATAATGTAATTATAAAATATATTTTTTATATTATATCAACCCCACAGTTCTGAGAGAGTACAGGGACAGTCAATTTTAAGTACAACCGAAAAGAGCATATAGTTCTTTAAACAATTGGTCACATTAAGTGTTTTTTTTTTCACGCTGTACACGAAAGATAGGATCAAAGAAACATATCACAGGGAAGGCCATTACACAGCCTTATAGCTTTACTCACGTAGAAGTCCACAAACCTATTTGTATGTACACACGGGTAGTTTACTGTAGTCCTACATAGTGAAACGCCCGGATCTGCCCTCTTTTTTTTAAATGGACCCATGGACAGTAGTGAGATGTTAATCTATTAAAGTTCCACTTCTGGGCTATATATACATATGTTATGATGATAAATGACAGTGATGAATAGAGTCATATAAAACTCCATCACCACAATATATATTTACATATATAAATAGTTTCAGATACAAATTTCATTTCGTATATATGATTACCGTACTGATTTAGATAATTACAACCTATAGAGATAAAATTGATAATGAAGGCATATAAAAGCCATACTGGACAATCAGAATAGAAAATAGTAAGCAAGCAGCAATTATAAGACATGCGTATCTTGGTGTTGCTAGGAGTGGTGGCGGTGGTAACCAGTAACCCACTAATAGGAGTGAGGAGTCCGTTGTCTTACCATGAGGAAATTGGCTTTCCCCTAGCAAAGAGAATTAAAGAAGCTGAAGACAGAATCTTCGCTGGAAGGGATTATGATGCCGTGGAGGAACAGGATGCGAGGATCGTTGGCGGAGTTGTGGCACCCAGTAATGCGCATCCGTATTTGGTGAATACATATGTATTTAAATTTATAAAAGTTAAATTAATAATAATTAATTGAAGAATTTGTTATTTCAACACTATCTCGATTTGACTTAAAATGAGTGATTAAAAATTAATGAATGAAATGAAGATATCGTGTAAACATACACATTAAAATGAGTCGAAATAAGAACCAAATTTTCCTATGGAATAAAAATGAAATATATTAAAAGTTGCTCTTTATACTGTGATATTAAACTAAGAAATTGTAATGTCAACTTTCGTAATAAATGATCTTTAAAATGGCAGGTTTATATGAGGTTTCATGTAGGGCTTTCCTCTCTATTGATATATCGTATTTTATTACCTTGATCGCTTTTTGCGACATCCCGGGAATGAACAGAAGCGGTAATATAATTATTTCTCATTACAGGTGAAATTAATATACTTATTTTATTAAATAAATACTATGGGATATGAATAGATGCACTCATGTGTCGTTTGTCGAAATTCGACCGAAGATACTAGTGACACTTAATTAAAGGGTTGAATTTTTTAATTTGAATAAAATTTGGTTGACAGATAGACCATATCTTTTAACACATAAGAGTCTTTTTAGTATGAAAACATTTTTTAAATTTTTTAACACCAAATGTGCGAGCATGTGATTGAACAAGTATTCAAAATTATTTCTTCATTTTGAGATTTCAAATAATGTAATTCACAAGGATGAATTACGGCTTTTATATTTCTTGATTATGGTTTAAATAATAAGTTATACTATCTATAGAGGACCTTTTTATTCCCTGTTTGTCTACCTAACGATATTAAAATCAAATAATTAAGATTTATAATGCACTTATCTCATAATAGAATAAAATTAGATATAATTGTTTACTTAGGAGATTGACCATATGGTTCCAAATTTAGTGAAAATTATAATTAATTATATTACTTATATAATGTTTGGGTACGTTAATAAGATTAGGATGTTCAGCTTAATCATCATCTTATCATCAGCTTAATTTATTATAATTGTGACGCAAGTGTAATCAATGTAATAGCCTATTAGGCGTGTCCTCTGTATTGATAAGTCCCCGATGATCCGATTGACGTGTAGATTATTATATTATTTTGATCTTTCCAAATCTAAGGATCTTTTCAAATGCCACAGTTCAACAGTGAGAAATTCAGAAGAGAACAAAGTTACATTCAGATCCTGTCTACGACTTTTTGATTTTGCGAGGAACAAAACAGATCCAAAATTTGTTTCTTATGAAATTGAACAAAATTATGCGGGATTCGAGATTGTAGAGTTATTGAGGCTAAGTTTAATACTTAACTTGACATTTGAATACATTCCGAATCCATGCCATTTTGGATTTTACCACTTACCATCCAGTTACATTAGGTGGGGCGTCAGATTTTTTGCTTTTCTAAATTGATTAACAAATCCTTGTATTGTCTGACTGGGATAAAAAAACAGCTTGTGATGTTTTCCACACTAAACATTACGTGTTTGCCTTCTTCTTTTTACTATTTAATAATATAATATTACCTTTTTAGATTTATATATTTTTTTTATATATTTGCAGGCTGGTCTTATAATCAACTTCGTGGGTATCTCAGGCCAGTCGGCTTGCGGTTCGAGCCTCATCTCGGCCACTCGTCTGGTGACCGCTGCCCACTGCTGGTCGTATGCACATCTACAAGGGCAGCAGTTGACTGTGGTGCTGGGTTCCCACTACTTGTTCTACGGCGGCACTCGGTTATTGACCTCTACAGTGGTCGTGCACCCGCAGTGGAACCAAAATAATCTGCACAATGATGTCGCTGTCATCTATCTTCAACAAAGCGTCGCTTTCTCAGGTGTGATATATCATCATTGTAATCATGTCTTATTGTCATGTTTGTATTATATCATATATTTTTGTAAACAATATGTAGTAAAATATATTACTATATTTGTTTAAACAGCGAGTATTCAGCCGATCGCACTACCAGCAAACCATTTGAACGATCAATTCATTGGAGAATGGTCTACGGCTGCAGGATATGGCTTCACAAGTGATCGTAAGTAAACATCTGTAAAGAACAGCTATTATTCACTTATACTCTGACATTCTGTATTTATAATTTAGAGGAAATTAGAAGAATTGTTCAAATTGATACCTGTTGCTGATTTTCACCATCGTACAACCCGCCATAAACTAAAATTTCATCCTAACCATCTGGACGAGTGTCGCTCTTCCACCATGCGTTTTTCAAGACACTTTCTCCTACGCACAACCACTCTTTGGAATCAACTTTCAGCAGCAGTATTTCCGAACCGATTCGACAACATAACGTTCAAGAAAAGAACATATTCCTTTTTAAAAGGTCGGCAGCACACTTGCAATGCCTTAGGTATTGTCGGTGACCATGGGCGACGGTAGTCACTTACCATCAGGTGCATGCGGCTGCTCGTTTGCCCCCTGAGTTGTAAAAAAAAAAGAATTCACTATTGATGAATTGACGAAGACGACATATAAAAAAATGACGAATCTAAACGGCGAATATTTGCTACAACAATAATTTTTTTTATTGTTATGTGATAAGAAAATTTAATTTTTTTTTAAGCAAAAAATCAATGTCTGTATTTCAGAGCAAACTGGCATTAATTTCGAAACCGTAGTGAGTCAGGTGAATCTGCAAGTAATCTCTGTGGCACAATGTCAAGCGATCTTCGGCGGATACGTGATACACAGCACCATCTGCACCAGTGGTACTGGCGGGGTGGGCATCTGCAGTGGCGACTCTGGTGGCCCCCTTGTCATTAATAAAAATGGACAGAATATATTGGTAAGAATATTATTTTTACAAGAGAAAGTATCACCAGAGAGAGACTTACAAAGTCAAAAGCCGATTGCTTGGGTACCTCTGTCCCATTCGTGTTTCAACCGTGAAGCAGTTGTGTTTACATGGCTGTGTTTCGGTTTGAAGGGTAGGATATGGTGTGAATTTACTGGGTACAGAGGAATAACACCTGAGTCCTCAGGAATGGCAACGCATGGGGGGTATCATGGGCGAAACAGTATACTCTGTTATGTCTATGGTACTGCTCATGTCTATAGGCGACGGTTACCACTTTCCATCAGGTGTGTCACGATACTAAAGAAATCTTAATACATCCTTTTTGTAGAACATCATACAGTAGTTTCTATAGAAAACCTCAGCAAAGAACTCATTTCGTAGTCGAAGCGTTTCGGGGAAGTAACTTTTTTGAAACGGCACTGTACGTGACCAGTTAGGTTCTAGCGTGTGAGGATTAATTCCTTGTCGATGGCGAGCGGTGCGATGATAAAAGTGGCTGGGATGCCTATTAAATTTTATCTACACATTTACGTTTTTTATTCACAGGTCGGTATCAGTTCATTCGTAGCTGGCAACGGATGTGAGCTAGGTTTTCCATCCGCCTTCGCTCGCGTCACCAGTTTCTACAGTTTCATATTGAACAACATGTAACAAAGGAATAAATGTTTAATGTGTATGTAAAATTAATGACTTTATTATTAAAATCTCTTAAGATAAGGATATGAGGTACATAGTGTAAAAAATGTATATTAGTAGATAAGTAATTTATAATTATATATAATCTGTGATTGCTATATAACGCGTATCTTATTTAAAAAGTATGATCCGAAAAAAAAACAAAATATATGAAATTTCTGTGCGTTTATGGGTGGTATAATTTTTCTCCCTTTAGTTTTTAACATTGGCTTGTTTTGTCCGACTTTAATATGTATCGAGTTTTGTTATTATACATTGTGTTTTATTAGGTTATAATGATATTGCTGATTACAAAAAAAAAAGAAGAAAAACTAAGGGAAAATAACTTTCATTTCCTTTAGTCTTTCTTTTGTTGAAAAATAATTAATTATTTAATGTATTAGCTATTAGGCCGCAAAAAAATCTATGAAAAAAATAGAATAAAAGTAAGTCACTGGTTCGTTATATTACAGTGTAAGTCTAAAATCAGGAAATTGAAATTGTAGTATGGCCAATAGCTAAAATGGATAAAACACCTGAAAGCACGGTAGTTGTCTTCATGAAGCATTATAAAACTAAAAGGCAAGATCGAAAAAAAATGTTGACAAACAATAGACAGTACAGTTATCAATCTGATTTAGATAATTATTTAGTATAAGAATACCTAGTTATAGATAATGTTGATAATGAGTTATATAAAATATCGAAAAATTTTAATTAAAATAGTAATACAACAACACTAAAACAATGCGCATCTTGGTGCTGCTCGGTTTAGTAACGGTGGTGGCCAGTAATCCACTAGCGGGAGTGAGGATTCCGCTGTCTTATCACGAGGAAATTGGATTTCCTCTAGCGAAGAGAATTAAGGAGACAGAGGACAGAATCTTTGCTGGGAAGGATTATGAGACAGTGTTAAGAGAGAATGGCAGAATCGTCGGGGGAGAAATTGCTCCCATTGCTGCGCATCCCTATATGGTGAATATATATTTAAATTTATTAAGGAACTAGCAACCCGTCCTGACTTAGTAAAGTTTTATTGGTATAAAATACAGGCCGTGGTACTCGCTTATAATGTAGGTGATAGATTTTTAAAATTTGTTAAGTATTTTTCAGTTTATTAATTTTAAACAAATATTAAATTTTTATTTTTTATAACATTAGTTAAAATTATTATTGGTTATAAGTTTAACTTATTACCCATAACATAACTTATCAATTTCCACGTTCAGTGGGAATACATTATTATAATTTTTTAAACGGGTTATCATTAGCATATAAGTTATAACTAATACTAAGTTATAATGATTATAATCAACAACATATAAGTCAATATATCGTAATTTCTTATATTGTCAATCATTTGCACACCGACATAGAGGCGCTCATTAGCTTCAAAACCCCTATTAAGTCCCACTATCTCTTCCTTTTGTACTATTTTCCTGTATAGTACGCCCTTTGTCTTTTTTCTCCATTTCCCTCAATAATTTTATTATTTATATATATTTTATTATTCGTCTAAAAATTACCTACAATCTAGCAAAATAAATAAATTTCATTTCATTTCATGTTCTATATACATATGTACTTACAGCCTTTATTCAAAAGAACTAAAACCTTTGACTATACACAGTTTCGTCACTTTCGTTCATTTTATGAATTTAGTGTAAAAGAAGGAGCGAAATAAGAGACAGAAGTTTATGAATAAAGGGTTTGTTAATTAGTAAAGTTGAACTTATTTTTGTATCAGTGTTCGTTAGACTGATAAATAGTAACACTACTTTATCGGATTTTGAATCAAATTAAAGTAAATGATATCAAATATATGTCTATATATAAATATAATATAGATAAAATAATTTTAATACGATAATTACTCCGATATAAAATGTTGGTTTCGTCAAGAAAAAAATAAAAGAAATGTTAAGAAGTTGAAAAATGTACATTTTATAAATTTTATAAAAGGAGGAATTTTTCCAAATCATATAATTCAAGTAACAAATATAAGATTTGAAAATTTAAAATCGAGGAAAAATAAAAAGATCTATGTTCCTAAATAATATTTTTTTCGTCGTATCAAAACTTTAAGAAAAAAGATTTAATTCTTTACATCTTTGTTTGTTTGTTTATTATGGATAATATAAACTATAAATATAATATAAATATTTGAATTTATACATATATGAATATATATAAACACATTAATTAAATAGATTAATTTTGACAATTCTTTCACCTACTCGTAGAAAACTCAACGAATAACACAGGCTATATATTGTATTTTAAAAATTAGAGATCTCTAAGATAGATTAGTTTCCAAATCAAACAATATTTTATTTTATTGTTACCAGTAGAATATTACTTTAAAAAGATGCTTACTATTTCGATTTTTTTCTGCAGGCAGATTCTATCTTAGGAAATAGAATTTTTTGAATAGTTCATTTTAAGAAAATTTTTAATATATTGCATTACAAAGAATAATTATTTGTGACTAGAGTTTATTTTTTATGTATACGTATGTATGTATTTATGTATATTTTATGAGAAATAAATATCTTAAACTATCAGAAAATCTTAACAGATATTACAAAAACTTAGTATTTTATTTTTTTGACGATTTTTATTGATTGATTTTATTAATTTTTGTTACTTCAGGCTGGTCTTGTAATAATGTTCTTGGGCATCGTCGGCCAGTCGGCTTGCGGTGCGAGCCTTATCTCGTCCACTCGTCTAGTCACCGCAGCCCACTGTTGGTCTTACGGACAATTACAAGGGCTACAAGTCACTGTAGTGCTGGGCTCGCACTTCTTGTTCTACGGCGGGAATCGAATACCGACCACAAGGGTCGTCGTGCATCCAAACTGGGACCAAACCACTTTAAACAATGACGTTGCTGTTATTATTCTTCCACAAAATGTCACATTCACAGGTATAGTATATTTTTCGTTATAACAACTAAGTTATAGTTGCCGTATGATCCTGGCATAAAATGGGGTACCCTTCCTTTCACGTCTGCGTCGTAAAAGGCGACTAAGGGAAATTAATGGACGAAGGTTGGACAGCAGCATTCCTTTTAAAACATTACCAAAAGTTAAACTGCGGTTGCCAAGCATGGTAACTACTGGCAAAAGTCCCCCAATGCTAAATTGCTATAAGGAATGGTCCCGTTTCTTAATGTAGACTATGTTGGAGGCTTATGTTTAATAGTGGACAGATAACGGCTGATGTGATGATGATGATGATGATTTAGTTATACTGCTCGTGCCAATTGAGATAAAAGTTTTTTTATGTAACCTAAAGTGGTAAACAGCCCACCTGATGGAAAGTGGTAACCGTCGTTTCTAAACATGAGCAGTACCATGAACATAACAGAGTAGATATACTGTTTCGTCCATGATTCCCTCCATCGATATTTCTGAGGACTCAGCTATTTCGGAGGTGTTATTCCTCTGTACCTTGTAAATTCACCGTCATATCCCACTCTTCAAACCGAAACACAGCCATGCAAACACAACTGCTTCACGGTAGAAACACGAATGGGACAGAGGTGCTCAAACGACTTTTGACTTTTCATTTAATGTAAAATGAGATATAATCTATTTCCATTCGATGACGTGATTGATTTTGTAACATCCATCACTTAAATATTATTATATATATTTATTGACGTGGTATATGGTCCACAGCTATGTATTTATAATTTTGACGTTACTTGTATTAAATTATTTTTGTATGAAGATCAATAACGGAGCGGTACGTGACCTGTATTGTAATTTTTTTCTTTTTTATTTATCTACAGGAGACATCCAACCGATAGCACTGCCTGGGTACCATTTGGACGATCAGTTTATCGGAGAGTGGGCTACGGCTGTGGGATACGGTCGCACTAGTGATCGTGAGTAAATATCTTTTTCCGACCCTTATTTTTTTTAATGGAATGAAAATGGAATAGTAACCCTGCCCACGTTATCGGTATATATTTACGGGGTACCAGTGGACAGTTAACGGCTGATATAATGATGATGATGAATCACGTGATGATAGGTGAATATAAAGTCTGGTCAATTGGCTCATCGTTACGAATTAACCAGGAATTAAGTACGTTATTTTTAGATAATATTTACGATTTTGGTGAATGATATTTATCGATACTATTCAAATATCAATATCAATAAGCAAAATTTTTATATTTTAATATTAATAGTGATATAATATTGTAGGAAAATATCGATATATCGAAAGTTACATCTTTAAACACTATACCGCGTTAGGATTACTATGTTAGTTATTGTACCTTAAAAATTGGTGGTGCATTTTTGTGCAATTGGTATTGATTAGACTGTAATGTAATAATATAATAGTGTCCTCTATCCAAAGGTTATCTGGAAGAGATTGCTTAGCCGTTTTATTATTAGCAGTTTTATTATAAGACCGTCTTTTGTATCACTTTTTATTACAATTTACTGTATTTATTATTTTTATAAATAAGGGCAAATAAGTGTAAATAAATAAATAATGTTACAGCACAGTTAATAAAACACGTATGTTATTATTTGTGATAATACTAATTACTATCTAATGTTTTCTGAGTGTATAGTAAAACAAGCCAAACTTTTTTTAGTTGACAGGGTTATTATTTTCATTTGTTGTTAAAACAAATATCGGTATTGAAAAATATCGATATTTTATTTCCGATAATACCAGAGTATCGGTATTAAATTAACGACATGAAAAATAATTAAAAATTCATTTTTGATTTCAGAGCAAGTTGGAATTAATGCAAATGCTGTGGTGAGCCATGTGAATTTACAAGTGATCTCTGTGCAACAATGTCAAGCAACTTTTGGCACGACATTCGTTCGAGAGAGTACGATTTGCACCAGCGGTACTGATGGGGTGGGCGTTTGCAACGGAGATTCTGGTGGTCCCCTTTTCATCAATAGAAATGGACAGAATATATTGGTGAGTATATAATCTTTATAAAATAATTCATTTATATAAGTACACCGAACAAAAATAGTCTGCAAAAGGTATCTCAGTCTCATTGGGGTCTCTGCCAACAACTAACTGAGTTTACATGGCTGTGTTTCCGCTTCAAAGGTGGGATCTGGTTGTGAAATTACAGTGCTGACTAAGGTCTTACAGAGGTTTAAAGTCATAATGGCCAGGAATGGTAACGCATGAGGTATATGCGAATTGGCAAGCGTAGTGTGGAATGATCCGCGGCTAAGTGGAATACGATATATGTAGGCTTTGCGGGTAATAACTTGTAGCGAAGAGCCGAAGATCGTGATCATGCTTTGGGAGAAGTCTATGTCCAGCAGCAGGCTGAGTGTAATGATGATTATTTGTCCAAAGGAATGGGCTCTTCTTTACGTAATTCTAATTTAATGGTCGAGAGTGGGCAGCAGCCATCTTAAAACGTCATCAAAGCCTACTGCGGTTGTCAACTTGCTTATCAAGCGTAGCAACAATTGACAAATCCCATCCCAAGTGGGAAGCCTATAGGCTGCCGCACTTGCTGTGTACTGCTTTTGCACTCAACGGCAAATTTGACGATAATGATTGTAACGACATGAAATATATTTCATTCGCAGGTTGGAATTAGTTCCTTCGTAGCAGCAGCCGGCTGCGAGCTCGGCTTCCCGTCCGCCTTCGCTCGCGTCACCAGTTTCTACAGTTTCATATTGCACAACATGTAATCTTTTTTATGTGTATATACAAAGTGAAATCAAACTCATTAACATTTTATTTAAGAACGTCTATAACGAAGTGTGGCAACACCGTAATTATCTGTCAATTTTTTAAAATAAAAATTATTTAATGTTTCTTTATTCTAAAAAATTGACTTCAATTGAAGCATTGCACTTCGTAATTAATCAATTAAAAAAATTGCATTGATTATTTGAAAAGAGCTCTGCTTATAAACTGAAACGTTAATCAAACAATAATATTCTTGATAAGCGGTCACTGAAATTTGAATTTTTGATGTCAAACACATATTTGAAAAATTTCAAAGCAAAATATGAAGTAGGCCAAAAGATTTTAATAGTAGATTTGAATGTAATGTATTCTACAGTTATCATTTAAACTCACTAATAGAGCACTATTTGAATAATCAGTCAGAATTTTTTAAAATATAAAAATGTTTTTGAAAATTGACAGATACTTGCAACGTTGCCACTCTTCGGTAAGAATAAAAAAAACGCTTTTAAGGGATTATTCCATTGTTTTCTCTTCGATTTTTAGTTTCTCATACTAACACAGCGTGTTCAGCTATCTAGCTAGCATCTTTTTTTTTTATATTTTTCGATGCGACATACTTTCAAGAACCGTTTAGTTCCACTAATACATTTTTTTTAAAATATGCTAATGATTTCGATTTCATCTCTGTAATACAAATAGCTCCTTAGACTGTGATAAAAGGTAGACAGACGTTTGCAGTTTGATAAGTAATAGAAAATCTACGTCCTATTATAGAAATTCTTATATTTATTATATTGTTTAAAAAGTAAAAAAACAAAGTCATTTCATTCAAGCTCCTTTATTTCCATCCAGGTACCGTCTCTGTTAACAATGCCAACGTCACATATAGCCAGCTTTGCATACATATCAGTAATTATTCTAATAAAACATAACACTGCATATTTAGCGCCACACTGGGCTCAATGACTATTTAAGACAACTTAAACTATTACATATTCATTTATTAAAATTGTACAGCACATTGAAATTTAAACGTTACTATAAATACACTAAGATTCAGTTTAATTGTTCACAATTTTTTCACGACAAATAAATATTTACTTTTATTGGATAATTAGCCACAATGTTTTAGTGACACACTAAAACAATCATTACATAAAATATATACACCTTAATAAAGTCGGTTTCACAACGGTCGCCTTAACTCGTGTCGCATTCGGGTACCTTATCCCTCGTTCATATATTAACACATTTTGCACAACAATACGGTGTTTCACTATATAAAATTAATAATGTGCTACACAAGCTTCCACAATATCGCAAACAAAATGTAATTTTCAATAATAATATCTCGAGAATCACAACAATTAACTTTACATATATCATGCAGTTGTTATGTGTAAATTCAAATTTTTTAATAACAAATTATGACTAAGGAAAGTTGAGACTAGAGATACTTATACGTAATAAATGATTTCACGGCTACATCTAGGTATATTAATTAACTATTAGTTTCGTGACAAGTGAAAACATTTAGCTGGTTCTTTCGGGCATTTATTGAATTACTACAACACTAATAACTATGTTTTATCTGTAAGAAATAAAAATATTATTTTACAATAATTCGATGTTTAAAACAAACAAATTAATAAACAGTTAGATATATTGAACGAATGATTTGATATAATAATGTTATTTCAGTACAGATCTAAGAGTTAAATATTAAAAACTATTTACAAGCCTCTGCAGCCAGTGACACCACGTTACAACTATTTATTAGACACATTTATTTTGAGAGGACAATTCCATTTTCAATATTATATTTTTAATTATATTTACAAAATTATTATCCAATTCACATTCTGCCAGAGACAATTGATGAAATTTTTAAAATAAGAATGTTACAAACGGCAAATTAGAACGTAGTGTTTGATTATGAATAGCAAGAAAATTAAATACATTAAATGACATAATTTACGATTAATAGAAAAATAACATGTATAAATCTTAAAAGGAAGCATCAATTAATCAACTACTATAATGATATCACAGTTCATTTATGCAAATAAAGTAATCGCACGGATACAAATAAACATCGATCATGAATATGATAATAATCACAAGATTGTTATGGCAATATCGATTCAAACATTTCAACAAAAACCACTTGTTTCATCGGCCAATTGTCTTGTAAAATGTGTATTTGAATTGTATTATGAACACGAACAAATGTAAGCTAAGGTTCCAGTTATGACGATAAAATAAAACCAATAGAATTCAAAATAGTTTTTAAGCAATTTACAAATGCAGAAGATTCTTAAAATTTACCTATAAAACTTGATTATTTCATAAAACAATTTTTGAACATTATATTTGCAATTGTTAGGGATTACTCTCGTTTTAGACCTATTTTCATTTAATAACATGCTAAGCAAAATGTTGTCTTGTCCAACGTATCGACTGTGAATATAGTGAGCTTAGATAGTGAAATTATAAGTCAAGTTAAATGTGTCATAAACGAATCTTTTTTTTTTAAATAAAATCTCAACTAGATATACTTTAAAAAATATCTGGAACCTTATGGACTTATTTATTAATAATCTATGGAAGCAATTTAAAAGTAGTGTTCTTTAACACGATAGGTGATCTTAATATATTATAAATATGTTTATTTTTTAGAATGACATTAAAAATAAATATGAATGTGCAATGTTGAAATGTTCATTTGAAATATTAGACCCAACGTACACTGGTCACTATTAGCAACTACACTATCTTGTTATTAGACAGACATGTCTTCGTGACATATGTTTTAGTATAAATATAGTATATTTATCACAGTACTAACTATCCTGACAGACGTCTCGGTGCAAATTAAATTTTTTCTTCTTCAAAAACCCTTGTTATTCTATTGAAAATATTAACAAAAATCAGGCAATTAATCTTTACTTATATATCCAGAAAGATTTATTTTTAAATATTTGCTTTGACTTGACTTATAGTTATGTATTTAATATAACTTAACGATAATTAAAATGGGACCTGTATTTTTTATTCTTTGGTCCATTAATAAACAATTGCATTATGTTTTTTCCCATCGAATTTAGATTTTTTATATTTATGATGATAATGATTTATGATTTTAAATAATAGATATAAAACCTTTTTTGATTTAACTGTGACAAGTATAGAAAAGGAGACGATAAATATATGTATATAGTTAATATTTTAGCTTTGTATCTACGGCAATTGAATTATAAAGAATAAAAATCAGAACATGTCCGTACAGTTTCTTAATACCGTATATGCATTAAAAGGTTTCAAAACAAATAGGTATACAGTGTTGAACTAAAAGTAACCATATGTACGTACAGGTTTATATAAATTAGCTAGGATTGTGTTCAACATTTATGTTGGACAAAGTACTTTGAGAATGTAGTCCGTTAATAGCGTAGGTACTGTGGGACTGTCTTCGTTTATCGCCTTTAGTACTGTAAAGAAAAGTGGGTATTAATACGAGTTGGTACATGGCAGTATTATATGTAGATTTTTATATAATATACAAGTAAACAGAATAAATAAAAATTACATTATTGTAATTATGTATACCGGATTTTCTCACATTTTAAATTAATAGATGCCTGACTAGTAATACGACAATACAGTTGACTCACGATAGTTATTGTTCAACAAAAATTAATTTATTAAATTTGGATATATTCATTAACTATATTTAATATGTAAGTAAATAATATGCTCACGACTGTAATCCCTGATAGGGTAGTCAGATGCTGGTGTCAATTATTACCGTTGTGGTTAATGTAACCAGTCGAGATTCCCTTATTAGAACCCAACTTTTGTATGGGACGAGTCTAAGGTAGTCAAACGGGTTAATTTGGTTTGTTAACGATGTTTCTATTACCGGAGAGTTAGAAAATTTAATGACTTACAAGCCTTTGGGGTCTATACAGGATAGTATATCACGGTCACGAAAAACAGATTTTTTTTTTAAATAATGATATAAAAAAAATGTAATTTAATGAACTTACTCTTGATAAGTACTTGCAGTGTCTGGTTGTCTGGTGGGCCGTTGTCCAAGTGGAAGGGTATCACTGTTGTCAAGTACTGTAATAAGAAGAAAAGTTTCCGTTGAAATTCAGTTCACAACATGGTCTAGCAACATTTATTTTCTATTGATTTTCAAACACAATTATTCGCTATGAGAACACTTTTTAAAATCAGAACGTTGAAAATTGTTTGTCTATTTATGTTAATATTTATAATAATAAAAATAAAGGATTTAATTGTTTATTTGTAATGAAAAAAATTATAAATAATTTAAGTGATTTTAAAAATTGATTTACCAAAGAAAGCTACCTTATCAGTAAGTAACATAGGCTATATATGTATATTATTTGCGAAAATTCTATATACCCGTTCGAAGCTGGACCGGATTTTTTTAATATTACTGGTAACCAATTGACAAAACTTCGGGTTTAAACTTTATCCTGTGTTTGAAATTATTGTAAATGCAATATAATTTGCACAATACAATTTGAGTTGAGATTGATATTGAAGATAACTAAAATCAGTTTTAAATATATCGTGTAACGTACACATAAAATGAATGTGATTTACATTCATAATTTATTGTCGCTTGTCTTTTATTGTGTATGTGTGTGTTGTCATTTTATTGTGTAATAAAATAGGCATATTATCAGCATTATTGAGGTCATATGTGGTACAGGACAAATAAAGGGAAAAATCTGAAAACCGTAATTATGTCGCATTTTTTTTTATTATAAATTTATTCTGATCCCTTGGTATGCGAGTCCGATTCGCATTTATCTGTTTTTTTTTTACATAACAAAATTCATCATATATTCTGAATGAAACACCAAATGATTGAATTCTCTCACTTCAGTTCGGAAATTTAAGCAACTTGATTTTTTTTCTTTATACTGTCTGATGATAAACGGTTGTAGTCTATGGATGCCTACAGCACTAGGGGTGTTTTAAACTAACATGAAAATGAACTTCATTATTTAGAACGTTCCTTTGAATTTTTATTGCCAAATTTTGTTTTTTAATCGCTATTTCATACGAGTGTATTGCAGCAATATGAAAGAAAACCAATGAAACAAACCACTTCTAAATATTATATCAAAATGAAACATGCAGCATATTTTAAGGTAGATTTTCAAAAACACAGCTGAGAAAACAGCATTCAATTTGGTACAGTAGCCTTTGTGTGATGCCAGAACATATAGACAGACAGATAAAATTAAAAAATATATTGTTTCAGCATCTATCGGACCTCTGATGTAATTTTTTTTAAATATCTCCCATATACAGATAATATCAAGTTACAATTTTAATAATATTTATATAAATAATAATTATAAGTATTAATATTATAATAAATAATATAATAATTAATTATAATAATAAGGTTAGAAATTATTTGATAAAAACTCTCTCTCTCTTTCTCTCTCTTCCTGTCACGTAATCGACGAAAAAATATACCTTAGATTCCGAATGACTGTTGTTCAAGTTAGGCGACCGCGGTGGGCCCGGTCGCTTCTTCTTCTCTATGTGGTACTGCCGACGCTTGTTCTGTACGGCCAGTAGGAGAGATATAAATGTATTTTTCAGTTCCTTCTCATACTCTAACTCGTCCCGCAGCGCCAGCTCGGCGATCAGCGTCTCCGAGAACTCCCTGATTAGGACTTCTAACTCCATAAATATCTCGTTCAGTTGAGCAAGCGAAAGCTGACGTAGTTCTGAAAGTTAAAGAAATATTTTTTTTTTATACAACTTAGAATGGCAAACAAGTTGACGGCCCACCTGATGGAAAGTGGTAACCGTCGCCTATAGACATGAGCAGTACCATGGACATAACAGAGTATACTGTTTCGCCCATGATACCCCCCATGCGTTGCCATTCCTGAGGACTCAGGTGTTATTCCTCTGTACCCAGTAATTTCACGTCATATCCCACCCTTTAAACCGAAACACAGCCATGCAAACACAACTGCTTCACGGTTGAAACACGAATGGGACACAGGTATCCAAGCAATCGACTTTTGTACAAAGTCTCCCTCTGGTATTTTTACTTTCATGCGAATAGGTGGCTCAGGACCGTTGGCAATGTATGGGAGAGACCTTTGTTCAGCAGTGGACAGACAATGGCTCAGATGATGATAATGAATACGAATAGGATAAAATATATCGTATGTGATAAATACTCATCTTGCCAATGTAAACTAATACCGCAGATGGATTGTAACTTCATTTTTATTCATTACAAAATGCACTTAGTGATTTTACTGCCACGTTTTATATTTTAAAGTAAACAGCACGCGATTATTTATTTAACGAAATGAAATAAAATGGAACAAAAAGAAACGAAATGGAATGATATGGAATAAACTGAAGTGAATTGTGCTTAACTGCTTAACTCCAAACATATGATACATTAGTAAAACATATCACTACATAGTATAAAACAAAATCGGCTTCCCGCTTTTTGTCCCTATGTATGCTTAGATCTTTAAACTACGCAACGGATTTTGATGTATTTTTTTTAACAGATAGAGTGGTTCAAGAGTAAGGTATTTATTTGTATAATACATGTATAATATAGTAGAGAAACAATGACAATTTTAGAGGTTTCTAATGTGATGTCGTAAATAAATACATTTTTTAGCATTTCACCCGTACGAAGCCGGGGTGGGTCGCTAGTAATACGGGTTTCTGTAAATCATAATTACTATCGTCATCATAATTATGACTTATAGAAACCTTAATTAATTATATTAGAACTTTCTTTGGGGGAACAATAAAATTTTTCATTCATTCGTTCGTAATAATGAGTAGTTATTAAAATCCTCGCGATTGTCTATGTAATTATAGTACATATATCACAATAATTACAAAAAGGTGAACGTTCTCATCGCCAAATTGGTTACAGACGGCCAATGGACTATATAGATAGAAGGCAAGTTTATAATGATTGTATATGATATTACATTTAAATACGATAATTGTTACCTACGCTTTTGCAATGTAATGTTACTTGTTTATTTTAGATGATTAAGTAATTATATTGTAGATTGTAGATACTTAAGCAATTATAAGCTTATAGGAAAATGAGTTCAGTGCAAATAGTGGTTTGATTCAATTTAAAAGAAGGTCAAAAATTTAGGCGCATTTCAAATGGTAAATGTCACCCACGCGAACGAAATCGTTTAAACTTATTTAAACTTACAAGTGGAAATAATCTGTTTAAATGCTCCCTTTATAACGAACTTAACGCAAAAATAAAGGACCTCAACGAACTTAACGCAAAAATAAAGGTCCTCAACGAACTTAACGCAAAAATAAAGGTCCTCAACGAACTTAACGCAAAAATAAAGGAATTTAGTATTTTCCATGATTCATAGCGTACCTTCGAGTATATACTATTAAATCACATTAAAAGCCGTCATACAAGCTAAATGTTTTCTTTCTCTTTTTTTGCTGTATTTCTGTAAAATAATTTAAGTAATTACGTATTTCCAAATATTATGATTATTATATAGCCAATACTGTGTACATTATTAACTGGTGTGCATATATTACCATGGTAATATTAAGTACTGTATTGCACCAAATTATATGTAATACTGTCGATGTATCAATTAATAAATAAAATAAATAAATGCTTTGTTGCGTACTATTGAACCGTTCAGGTGCGCACAGTCTTTTTTTTTAATAAAATAGAGCCCATGTTACTAGTTGTAATGTTGCTTTCTATAGACGAATTTTTAAAATTGGTTAAACAATTCTTAAGTTTATTCATTATAAAGAAAAAATAATATTTACTCTGTGTTATTTTAGTTTAGATTACAAAACGGCGTAGAAAATTATGTCGAAAACTTTTTATTCGAAGTTTCTCACGGCAGTACTTATTATTATATTATTACGTGACAAAAGTAGCGATTCTCGATGCAAATTTGAAATGAGTATACCTTCTTTCAATTATATCATACTTTTTTGTGCTATTATATAAAAACTTAACCGGTAACCAGTCGTGGAAATCGTCATTTTATGAATTAACCGGTTCCCACAGATCATTATAATCGCTTAATTTAAAACCTGATTAAAGTATTTTCGAATTCGTCATAATGGACAGAATGGGCCAATTGAACTAACTTCATTTTCACCTATCATCCCTCACCGGTGTCCTGTCTGCGTATACTGATAGCGTAGGCAGGATAGCCATTCTATTATCATCCCATAAAAATGCCTGCCGGGTATCATTAGTAATATTATAAAGAGAATAGATTTGAATGTAATGGATAAACTCAAAAATAGTCAAGCGATTTTTAAAATCTGTCATCTATAAAAAGCTAGATTAACAAGCTATATATTGTTTTAAAAAAATTCTATCTACACGTGTGAAACCGGGCTGAGTTGCCAGTTTTTAATAAAATGAATCTAATAGATTGAAAAGTTTTCTTAAACCAATTCAAACAAAGCCTTGGACTCACGTATGTATGTAATTAGTTACGAAGTAAATTTTTTTATACCACTGAGGCGGCAAATAAGCATACCCACCTGATGGTAAGCGGTTACCGTAGCCTATGAACGGCTGCAAAGCCAGAGGTGTTACGCGCGCATTGCCGACCTCTTTATCCCTTTTTTAAAGAACCCCATGCTGTAGTCTTTTGGAAAAACCTCGACAGGGAGCTCATTACATAATCTGAGCGTTCATGGGAGGAAATATCTCTGAAACCGCGCTACACGCGACCATCTAGCCTTTAAGATATGGAGGTGAATTTCCTGTCGATGGCGAACTGTACGATGGTAGAAGGTGATAGTAGAATTTGTTTACAATGATGAAATGTATACCAATCGACTGAATAATTTGAAGCGTCAACTTACTGTCTTCGTATAAGGGTGAGCTGAGGACCTCCTTTCCTTTCTCCAGAGCTTCGTTATATTCAATTATGTCGCCTTCCGACGAAGGTGTCTCCTGCATCATGTCGTCTATTTCTTGGATTACCTGTGAATTAAAAATAATACTATTAATATAATCAATGCAAAAGTTTGTAACGATGGATGGATGGATAGATGGATGTTTGTTTTTTTGATGGGTGAAAATGGTATGGTAACCCCGCCTGCGCTAACGGGATACGTTGGCGGAGCACCAGTGACGGGTGATAGATGAGAATGAAAACAGGCCAATTAGCCCATCATGATGAATTCATCAGGAATTAACCATGATAGGTAACAGGGAGAACCGCGAGGAGGTCGACCTGGTTGGGTATATTGCTAGCAATGGGATTCTCAGTCTCCATTACTAACAATCCCTTTCCCCCCAATAGATGGATGTTACTCTTTTTTTATGCAACTTCGAATGGCAAACAAGCTGACAGCCCACCTTCACCTATAGGGGCAATGGGGGCTAACCTCCCCATTACGGGGAAAGGGATTGTTAGTAATGGGGTCTAACTGACCCATTGCCAGAAATATACCCATCAGGTTTACCTCCACGCGGTTCCCCTGGAAACTATCGTGATTAATTCTAGTGGAATGAGTCACGTTAGTGGGCTAACTGACGTGCCTTTTCATCGTCATCTATCATGCCTCACTGGTGTCCTGTCAGCATATACTGATAGCGCGGGCTAGGTTACCATTCCATTATCATCCATTAAAAAAAACCTCTCCATTACTAACAATCCCTTCCCCCCACCTAACAATGTTAACCATATCAGAAAACGATATTTAATATGTGATGATGAATGTGAATTATGGTATTTTTTAGGATTCCGTATCTCTAAAGAAAAAAACGGAACCTTTATACGATCACTTCGTTGTCCGTCTGTCCGTCTGTCAAGACTTTTTTCTTAGGAATATGTGGAGATATCAAGTTCAAATTAATATCATATGCTCAGGTCTGCAATCTCTTAAAGCAGTGAAAAAATCAAGCTTCGAAATCGACGCAATCAAAAGATACGGCTGTTTATGTTCCATTTATATTGCGTATTTTGATATTCGCAACGGGAATTCAAACTTATAAGACATTTCCCGTTGACCTAGAAACATGAAATTTGGCAAGAAGCAATGTTATGTAGCACAAGTAAAGGAAAAAATCCGAAAACCCTGAATTTATAGTTATTAAAAAAAAAAAACTTGATGATTCTGTACGGAACCTTCGTTGCGCGAGTCCGACTCGCACTTGACCGGCTTTTTTATATCAATGCCGACCATAAAGATCGACTCGAATTACTGATTTGACTTATGGATTTTCTCATTCCCACGGTTTGTATTTTAACATGCAGTCAGCAAAGATCATTTTACAACAAAGACTACAGATTGCTTAATACTTAATATCTAAATTATTTTTTCATGTTCACCGACTTGCGTGTCAAAACACCATGGGACCATGGGAATGAAGTCATTGGAAGAATTTATTTATTTAACTCTTTATTGCACCAAAAACATAAAAATAAACAATGACATATAACCAATTCAAGTGAAATACAGTAGCATGAAGTACAGATTAAAATATACATATAAAGGTGCAAAAGGCGGACTTATCGCTATATAAGAATCTATAATTACCTCGTCAGCAGTTTTGACGGGACACTCGTGGTCCTGATGGAGGCCGCCCAGAATGAGAGCGTGCATGTCCAAGTCGGAAGCCACGGCCTCGTCCTCAGAACTGTGGATCTCGTCGTCAGGAGTCATCGAACCCTGTAAAAGCAGTAATTATTTATATTAGTAATTGAATCTTATTATAAAATAGTAACTAAACAATGACTGTACATGAGAGATATTAAAAAAAAATGAGGAGTAGATATAGATAGAGTAATAAGAGCGATAGAAGCCAAAACAAAAATTTTTAAAATCTTTGTGTTTGTTCCAACAAAAGCACCAAATTGGATACGATGTTCATTAATATATTCAAAAGTGGTGTATTTCTTTTTACCCACTGAGGTGGCAAACAAGCATACGGTCCACCTGATGGTAAGAGATTACCGTAGCCTATAAACACCTGCAATACCAATGGTTGCCGACTCTGAAGAAACATCTTTACCCCCCTTTCGAAGAACCCCATACTGTAGTCTCTTGGGAAAACCTCGACAGAGTATATGAGTATTACGCGGGCGTTGCCGACCCTGAAGAAATCTCTTTATCCCCCTTTTTGAAGAACCCTAAACTAACTAAACTAAACTAACCCTAAACCTAAAGAAAAAAGATAAAAAAGACAAAGTGTATATTTTATTCTAAGAACATTTTTTATTATTTAAAATGGCAACGAGAAGATCGTGCGCTGTTATCATTTATTTGTTTCGTCGATTTTTCTTTATATCTTAATTTTTATTTTATGGAACTTACTTAATATGTCATTGCTTTGATAGCGTGAAGCTACTCTCAAAGTATACTCTTCTGCAAAAGGTTTTCTTTAACGCTGTATAAGTGGACATTTTGTCTATATATGTAAGTATTTATTTATTTTTATTTTTATACAACTTAAAATGGCAAACAAGCTGACGGCCCACCTGATGGAAAGTGGTAACCGTTGCCTATAGACATGAACAGTACCACGGACATAACAGAGTATACTGTTTCGCACATGATACTCCCCAAGCGTTGCCATTCCTGAAGACTCAGGTGGTATTCCTCTATACCCTGTAAATTCACTGTCAAAATAAAATGTAAGTAGAAATAGGTAAAAAAATCTAAATTAAAAAATAATGGTGACCTCATATAAATACTGTAATGCAAAACTATTTTGAATATTTTGTATCAATAATAACAGTAAAATAGATAAGCAACTTAGGTTAAAATAGTTGGACCAAATTTAATGTTCAAGTCCATAGAGTTAAACTGAATAAAATATGTCTCTGAAATTAAAATCCAACCTTTATGCATAAATTCGTTATAGAAATCAGGGGAGTTCATGCATATATATCCTCTTTTGCACTAAAGCATTTAAGCGCTTTAAAATTAGCTTTATTTTTATTTATTAGAGTAGAAAATCCAATAAAAGCTCGGATGCCATACAAACTTTAATATCCGGCCAGACAACTCGAAAACCATAAAGCTATAGCCACCGGAAAGCCATCGGTATTCTTTGTGCTCCATTTATTCCACAACGTTTATTTTTAGTTACAATTTTATGGGGTATAAAAGGTTACCTTTCTATCGCTCAGGTTCAAGGTGGGTATATGCATTTTCCTGGAGAATGATTTGGTCCAATCGATTGGGAGAATGTTTCCAAAGTTGCCTGTGATTGTCCACCACATCCTGAAACCAATTAAAGATATATATTAGCGGTGTCACAGTTTAATATACTGACTCACCCTATGATTTGGTACGTCATAAAATGTAGTGAAATAAAAACCTATTGAAGCAGTACAAGTGTTTTCTTATTTATAAAAATGTATTATATGGTGTTTTTATTTTTAAACAGCTCAATTCCTGGGCAATGTAGCTCTATGAACGTTTTGGGTATACCATCTTTATGTATATTTTATATACAAATAATGTATTATTGAATAGGTATTGAAAAACATTTATATAACAATAAAATGTAACTATTACAATAATATACCTACATAAGTCCATCGGTACATAGAATTAATCATTAAGTTCGTATCCATATGGTAGCTAGTCATCGAGTGATGACGTTCGTGTCTCATTTTAGGGAAGATGATGTGTCTATAATTGTTATTGTGTATTGTTATTAATTGTTATAACATTAAGATGTTTTATATGGAGCAATTACGTATGATTGCAGTACTCTTTTGTAATCAAATCAATTATAAAAACATAATACAAATAGGTACTAATGATTTTAAGGCTTGATTCAGAAAGATGTTATTTAAGGAGAAGAACTTACTTTATATAAAGTAGAGAAGAATCTTTGGAAATAATTTAGAAACCTAATAAGTATAAATATTGTATATAAAATTATAAAATAAGATGTTAAGATTTTTTCACTTGATTCGATTATAGGTGATGATGATGGTAGCAGCTCATCATCATGATCCTTGTAGATCTAAAAAGGGGACTCTTACTGTTCTTGAAATTATCAAAACTGATATTAATATATACTAGCTGTGCCCGCGATTTCATCTGTGTGACCGGAGTAAAAAGTAGCTTTGACATTGAAATGAATGACCTTGGCTATTCTAAATATAACACAATATGTGTGTCAAATAACATGACGATTTGTTGAGCCATTAGAGTACTAAGAGATAATACCTAAACTCATGTTCACATTTACAATATTACTAGCTTTTAACCGCGGCATAGTCCGTGATTATCGTGATAAACATGATAAAAAGTATCCTATGTCCTCTACACCATATAGTATAATTATAGTAAATTGGTTAAGTCGTTAAGGTGCTAAGAGATAACAAACAATCGTTAGTAAAGCGGACTACCAGTCCCATTGCTAGCAATAATCTATCAGGTCGACCTCCACGTGGCCGCACCTGGAAACCATCGTGCTGAATTCCAGATGTATTCATCACGATGGGCTAACCGATCTGAATTTTCATTCTCACCTATATTATTCCTTACCGGTGCCTCGCCAGCGTATATCGTTAGCGCGGGCGGAGTTACTATTCCATTATTATACATAAAAAAAAAATTAAAATTAAATAGGTAAGACAAATATCTTCGAAGTAATAAAATTTAATGAATCATGTTCAATAAATTATGTATTCAAAATTTATTTTAAAGTTATAATCATATATTTATCATCAAATTAAAATTATAGATTAAGTTCTAAATATTATAATTAACTTAATATGAAGGAGTTTATCAGAATTATGAAGTAACGAATGATCTGCGTGCGTGAGAGATTATCTTAATAGTGTAGACGCCGGCGCCTTTGGAATAAGTTTAAAATAAGTTCGTTTTATTTTTATTACATTTTGAACAGATTATCTAAAGCCAATGTGATATATCTACATGACTTTCTAATACTATATTGGATCAAATCAGCGGTATGTTTATTCCCTGTTGTTCTCTTTTTAGTTGTGTTACATTCCAGGATTCTGAGACGGAGTCATGATTTTGTATGTTGGAGTCTCTTTTACTGTAAGTAATAAATAGGTACTACGTATGGTACGAAGACCATCAGGTGGGCAGTCAGTTTAATTGCCATTCTAAATTGTATAAAACAATTTACTTTAAACAAAATAATTTGTTCAAATAATTGTATTTACAAAAATATTATTAAAATATGAAAATTATATTCCAATAATAACAATTGTTTTGAGTGAAAAAATACGAAGCCTAAATATTGTTTCTAGATTTTTTAATCATTCCACAATTATTGGAATTTGGTTTTCATATTTAAAGAGAATTTTATATCAATTTGCAATTATGTAATATACTGCTAAGTATCTTATTATAAATAAAACGGTATTTAAATCTTAGTAAAAGAAAATCATGCGAATTTAGCCTCATTGAACTCGGTAAGTTGCTGCAAGATAGTTGATTTTAAATTATCGCATTGTTTACACATATTTACATACACTATCAGGACTTAACGGTATGTGAATTTTTTTGCAGGTAAATAGTACCTACATGCCTGCTTCTTTATTATCGACGTTTCAATCAAACTTAACGCCTTAAAAAATCGCGCAAATTCCTGATAACGTATTCCTGTAATTTTTTTTGGGAATTAGGTAGTTTATAAGAAATTATATTATTATCTAATGAATGCCTATGCAAAATATCAGAATTTGACCTCGAGTTATTTTAATTGCGTAGTTGCCAATTACAGACTGGCAACTAACTGTTCATATCTTTTATATATACAGAAGATACATTTATCAACCTACATAAAAGGTATATAATTTATTACTTCAGGAAAAATCCGTTATTTAGGTTATTTTATTTCACGCCTGTTTACCAGATTGCCGAGTGATAGGCTATCAGTGTTTATTACCAACCCGTGAAACGAAGCTCACAGTACGTGAGTATTAATTTTGCCAGTTTCTGTCAAAACAATTCATTAATAAACTATTTTTAAACTTCCTTAGTGCGATAAAAACTGAATCTAGTAACAAATACTGACTATAGTACTTTATACTACATAGGTTAGACTAGATATTAATATATACATATATATATACATATACATATATATATATAGTATATATTAATATATACTTAGTATTTATTTCGTGGCCGTGTAGTCCCGGCATAGAATAGGTCACCTCTTCTTTCCCCGTGGGTATTCTAAGAGGCGATTAAGGGAGGGCGAGAGATGTGAAACAGCGCCTTTCTTAAAACATCTCCAAAGCCTAACTACGGTTGCCAATCCGCCAAGCATGGCAACTACTGGCAACACTCTCTTATGGGGAAGGCCTATGTTCAGCAGTGAATAGTTAACGGCTGATATAATTATAAAAAAAGAAAACCACTTCGAGTATGAACATTTTAAAAATGGCATTTAAGTATGACCTCTTTCAGTAGAACTAATCGAAAAAGTAAATGATTAATTTTTCCGACTATAAGACCGTCTACTGAAATCGAATAGTTTTACAAATAAGAAATCATTGATTAAACATTTGTTTTGTAACTAACTTAATTTAGAGAATTTTTAATTACTATAAAAATAGGTTACCTTTTTTGTTAAATTCTATTGAAGGTGACTACGTGTTATTTTACTGTGTAAGTACATTATAAGACTCGTTTTATCTGTCCTTACATCCTAATAAGGTCATAATAATAACAACTAAGCAGTGTTACAACGAAGCGTGACTAATTCTCTGAGCTTGCCTCCATGTGCTCGGTGGGAAGCGCTAAATTGCCGCTTCCACTTTTGCAGAGCAAGGTCGATGTTATCTCTCTGGACCTCCACTCAAACTTTGTACATGTTACCATTTATTTACATCTTTTAATAAATTAATCAGGTTATTTAATGTAACCTGTTGCTCTAAAATAAGGCGAACGGGATAAGTTCATTTTATATGGCTTTTAAATTTCAAAATTAAACATAAATAATAATAATAATATTTATTTAATTAGACTACATAAGGCCCATTTTGTTAGTTATAAATTGACTTAACCTATGTTAGTAAATGAGCAGTCATAACGCTCTTACATTGATAACCTGTCCCACCCAATATTTTAGGATGGGACAATCCATTTTATCAGCAATTGTCTTCAGGACACCGTTTGAGCTAACACGCACCCTACCCAACAGCGAAACAATTCGTTTACTCCGTATTGTGTAAAAATCATCCGTACGCTCCCGTGCAAACATGTGTGACGCACTACAGTGACTAGGTAGCCCCAACAGTATCCTGAAGGCATTATTATATTGGACTTGAAGAGCATTGTAAGTTTTTTGACTATAGTTGACCCACAAGCTACTCGTGTAGAACACCTGACAAAAAGCTTTAAACAGGGTTATTTTTACTTGTTTTGTACATCTAGTAAACCTGCGGGCCAACATGTTACTTCTAACTGCCAATGCTCTTCTTTCCTAAAGCCTACATAGAAAAATCTACCTAATGATAAATAAGGGAAAAGTATGTATAGTTAATTTTTATATTGCTAACTATTATAAGAATAATTGTGACCTAGCATGGATTCAGAAAAATAATTATATTACATTTTAATATGTACTGTTTTATTTTATATATTTACATAAGTATTTGAGTAAAATAGGTAGATTATTTTTTCTATGTATGTGTGTAAGTATAAATGTAAAGTATAAAGTATTTACATAAATAAACTCTATGAATATGAAATTATGTGTAGATATATGTATTATAAGTGACATGATGATGATATAATCTAGGCTTTTAATATGTAAAGTCAATTTAAATAATATAATTGAATTATAAATCTGTTTACCGCTTTTTTTTTATAAAATGTAAAATATTTGCATGCCTACATCTCTTAAGGCAATTAAACAGGTGCCAAAATAATACCACGTGGCTTTTGTAATAATTTTAAACTGTTTAATGGAAAACTCATTAAAAAATTATTTACATACTTATTAAGAAATCACATATATATGTTGAAACGGCCTTTTCAGAAATGGAATGAGAAAGTTTATTCAGGATCAATAACGCGGAAACATATAGAAATTACAGCAAAATTAGAGAATATTTAAATTTATACTCATGCCGTGAGTAGGTACGACGTAGTGCAATCCACATCGAAACGTTGATTATATGTCAAATAATATTTATAACTATTTTACTTTTTATAGCTGACCAAATAATAATACTTTTTTTATTGTTAGAGAGGCAAACGAGCAGACGGCCCACCTC